GCAGCGGCGGTGCGACGCGTAGTGCGCCGTGTAGTGGTAGACATTGTGCCTTGATGGGGTCAGCAAGAGCGATGCGCAGCAGCAGCGGTGACGTACAGGGCAGTTGCGATGCAATTGCCAGTCAGCAGTAGATGATCTGATGCCAGATGCGACTGCGTGGGGGAGTTGGGATGGTTGTGGTGTTGGGGTGTGTGTTGGCAAAGGAAGTTGCAATGGAGTTAAGAAAGTTGTCACTGCACCTCCGGCCATTGGGGCTAGCGCGTCACCCCGGCTCGAATCAGGCGCGACACGGGCCACGCCTTGGCATGACGACCAAGCTGGAGCTCTTTGCCTGCGACAGTCGACAGCAGCCAGCATCAGCATCATGGAGGGCCTTTACTACAACGTCAAATACGGGTACGAGACACGCCGTTGACCTGTTCCTGTCCATGTCTAACCAGTTGCCGCAGCTACATCGAGGGCATCGTGCGCGGTTACCGCAATGCACTGCTCACCAGCCAGAACTACAGCAACTTGACCCAGTGTGAAACCATCGACGGTACATCACATCCAGTCGCCGCTGCCCTGGGACCCTCTCTAACTATGATGCAGATGTCAAGCTGCAGCTCTCGCCCGCGTACGGCGACTTCCTCAACTCATTGCCCCCGAACCCGTCGACGTCTGCCCTCGCCGCAAAGACCACCGACAAGCTCGTGGCCGAGTTCCGCTATCTCCAGGCCAACGCTACCGGCTCGCTCTCCAAGTTCATGGAATACCTCACGTACGGCTACATGATCGACAACGTCGCGCTGCTGATTACTGGCACGCTGCACGAGAGGGATACGCGAGAGCTGCTCGAGAGGTGCCACCCACTCGGCTGGTTCGAGACCATGCCGGTGCTGTGCGTGGCGACCAACATCGAGGAGCTATACAACTCGGTTCTGATCGAGACGCCGCTCGCACCCTACTTCAAGGGCTCGCTCAGCCACCAGGATCTCGATGAACTCAACATTGAGATTATCCGCAACACCCTGTACAAGAACTACCTCGAGGACTTTCACCAGTGGATCAACTCTTGCTCTGACATCGCCGGAACACCCACGTCAGACGTCATGTCCGAGGTCTTGGAGTTCGAGGCCGACCGCAGGAGCATCAACATCTCCCTGAACTCGTTCGGCACAGAGCTTTCCAAGGCAGACAGGAAGAAGTTGTACCCAGCTTTTGGCAAGCTGTACCCAGAAGGCACTTTGATGCTGTCGAGAGCAGATGATGTCGAGGGTGTGCGTATTGCCGTTGAGAGCGTCGCCGACTACAAGATGTTCTTCGACCAGACCGGTCTCAGTGGAGGTGGCGGTGGCGGCGTAGGCAACATGGCTGGTGGTGTTGGTGGTGAGACGAGGAGTTTAGAGGACCTCTTTTACCAGAAGGAGATGGAGATCTCCAAGCTCGCATTCACCCACCAATTCACCCACGCCATTGTCTACGCATGGGTAAAGCTGCGCGAGCAGGTATGTTGCCAAATCTCACCACGAAGAGAACATGTCGACTAACATGATCTACAGGAAATCCGTAACATCACATGGATAGCCGAGTGCATTGCGCAGAACCAGAAGGAGCGCATTGGCAACTACATCAGCGTCTTCTAGGTGTACGCATCATTGTAGTAATAGCATGTTTGGGTCCAAGTAAGGAATATCTTGGCTGGCGTTAGGGTACGGTTCGTATATCCAACTTTGTTAGATTGCATATCTTCTCACATGTGTCTTCTGTCTTCGTCGCTGTTCCCGTTCTGTGCCAGATGTTAGGAGACCTGTTCTATACTTTCACCGCCTCAAGTATCGTCTTGCCCTCGTCATTGTCACCAGCTAACATACAGCAATTTATCACCGTGTCCCAATCTTGATAGCAACCCAGACATCTGTGTGATATGGAGCACTCGTAGATTCGGTTCAGTCAGACCTACAGCATCCAAGTCTGATATCTTGATCAACAATTCAGCTTACAATCGCTCGTATGTCATAGTGGTCGCATAATAACTGTCATTGGTCATACTTGGAATCAATAATCGACTCCAACGAGACCCCCACAAAACAGATATCAGCACGTCATAGTCTGTACGACACATGTGAAGAGTAGAAGAAACATGTGAATGCTCCAAGCCCTAGCCCTAAGAGAGCACGTGAGGTCATCAAGAGCGTCGAAGCAGGAACCATATGTATGGATTCGAAAAAAGGTCCTTTCGATAGCCTATAAAACATGGTATATTTCTTAAAGCATTAGATCAAGTATATCAATACGAATAATCAGTTGGCAAGCAAAGGGGCAACCAACTCAGCTACCGATGGGGTGGGTGTTACAAAGAACGATGATCATGAGAATAGTCAAGAGACTAGAAACGATCATGAGTAGGTCAACAACGGAGAGGGCGAGAGTGAGGAGGCTGACAATCGCTGCAAAGAGCGGCTCACGCCTTCACTGATCAGTGCAGTATGTTTATCGTAGGCTCAGGACGATCAGCACATTATCCAGACAGAAGCCACCCTCGCTGACGACGATGTCAACACATTAGCCGTGGTCCGAGACTATCTTGAGAGGTTTCAACCAAGCATAGTTTTAGTAGGTCGTACTAGCCCTTCGCAGCCATCCTCTTCCCAACCCAAGTGCCCATATGCCGAATGAGGCTGGGACCGACATCTAAACGTAGTCGTGGTCAAAGTTTAGATGCAGCTGTCGTAAAGGAGGCCTAAGGGTCAGTTTCGTGCAGGAGGAGAAATTGCAGAATGCAGTGATCCTCAGAAAAAGTAAACTGGCATGGAACCTTGTGGGGACGTAAGAAGAAAGTATGTAGCCTTGCGTCTAAGGTAATCTGATCGACGTCTTCGCTTCAACGCTAGCATGTTTGAGGCAAGTCAGCTCGTGTTGGGGTAAATAGTGTTCGAGGGTCTACTAAAGTTAGTGTGGACCCTAGTTGTGGAAAAGGAAAACAATGGCGAGTGTGCATGTGCGTCATGGCGCTAAGGTGTGACAAAGCTCACGACGGTGTATGCACTTCGCTCATCCTTATTCATACTGCTGCGTTGCGCGTACACCGCTTTTAGGCAAGACCGTAGTGATGGAGTTCGTCCTAGTATTCCTGGACTAGCTCTCAGGTTGCCTGAAATGCATGTTTCTTGCTGACCACTGGCTTGGATGAACAACAGCTCTAACTCCACCTCTAGAAGCTTCCCAAGAGGTCTTATCAGCGAGGTTAACACGACGAGCAACCCTCGTCATCCTCCATCATTTGGCGGATACATTATCTCCGAAGAAAAGAAGTGCTTAGGTGCGAGGGAGGGTGGTATGGTACTGCCGAACCGAAGTATGAAGCCCCTAACAACTACCGCTTTGCAAAACGAATGCCAAACGGCCAGCTAAGGGTTGTTTTCAAGGGATGGTACCCGCCATCGTGTCTCCAGCGTGCAGAAGTTGGCAATGTTGCGAAAGCCACGCGTGTTCAGGTCACCAAGTTTATTTTCATATCACCAAGTTTTTTTATAAGCCTGTCAAATTTCGTGAAGACATGGCTCATTCTTGTGGGCCTTGTTACTCAAATTTGTACGCTTACTCATGCCTCAGTATCTTCTCGTCTCTAATTCAACTGTAGTTTCAGTTTTGGAAACATAAACTCCACGATCTCTAGAGGTCACACACTTGTCTCTATATCGTGAGCTTCATTTTCAGGTACCGAGGTGCAGGTCATGTTTGCTTGTCTGAACAACAACGTGAAAAAAAGGTCAAAATAGACCCTGAGCTGAAGAGAACTCGGGGTTAGCGAGCATTCGCTACGTGTGTATACATGTGCTCCATGCGAGTCACACACAGTTCATCTGAAAGTCATACCACCGGAATCGACAACATCCACCATCATTCGCTAACTGCAGCGCACAGTACCATGCGTTCTAGAGGAAAAAAGAAGATAGACACCGCAAGAGCCTCCTCCAAGCCTAGAACAAAATTTTACAGTTTTACCCTGAATTAAACGTCGTACCATGGATGTGCCGAAAAGAAAGGAACAACAGCCGATGGCTTGCAACGGGGACGCAAGAGGGCAGTGCGAGGTAAGTCGTTCGCAGCGAATGTTTCAACACACGAAACAACAGGAAGTCCAGCCTCACGGTCTTCACCGTTTTTTATTCCGATCTCGAACCCTGAATATGCTAACCTGAAGATCGGGCGAATATGAATGCAAGGCGAACTCAACCTCTCCCCACAGCGACGATAGCAAGTATACTTGTGAAACAGATGGCCGCATCAATGACCCTGGACCCTAGCTACTGCTACTATACTCAGGGCTTCATCATAGAGTTCGGTTTCAATACCTGTTATCACTAGTAGTCCCATGCCTCAGCCGACAATCACCGACCCTCAGCACCTTGCCTTCCCGTCTCTATCTTCATCCCTTCCGCTGAAACCACCCCGCGACCACTCCGCACGTGCAGTCCAACCTAGTCTCGCCATGCATTCCCGGTCCATCTTCCCTCGCTTACGGCCCAAGCTCTCCTCACACCACCTACTATTCTTCCTCGTCTCGTGCGTAACCCACCTTGACCACGAAGCTACTTGGCCCGAGCCTGCCTATGTATGGGACCCAGTCCAGAAAGATTACCAGAGCGCATACCGAGTATCCGAGACTATACAGGAATGGTAAAATAGACGAGGGAAAGCGAACCATGGTGCGGAGTGGGCAATATGCCAGGTAACCGAGTGTATGATTTGAGGATGTGCACCGAATTAACTACACGGATGAAAATGAGATACAGGACTACCTAGGTGTGATGTTCAATGAGCTACTTTTCTTTGTTGTACTACAGAATCGACTTATCCTGCTCAATCAGCAGGCAGGCGCACGAAGATAGTCGAAGCGGTGTTGAATTCATGTTCCAAACGGATAGTACGAACTCAAATTAGCGCGCACCTACTCCCGCTGTTGCGAACCTACCTAGATACCAAACCTGACTATTACGGGAAAACTTTGGCAGTAAATGCGCGATGTGCAGTCCGCCGAAGAAGAACTGAACAAGGGAGAGAAGAAGGTGAGCGAAAAGATTAAGCGTGGTCTTTGCGAATTTTCGTGGACGCAAGCTGAATAGTGTCGCAGGATTCCGAAGTTGGTCGACGTGGCGTGACCATGGTCTCCCGGCTAAATGTCATATTGGCCTACTTCATGGTTGTGATCCCAAGAGTCACTCCACTCAACACCATGGTAACGCCACCTCACAAATGGCTCACGCATCTCCCCATGGGGATACAAGTAATCCTGATAAAATGTTTTCCACGTTTTCAGACTTGAGATATAAATTTACCTTGTCATGCATCTAATCTCATCTGGTCTTCAATCTGCTAACAAGAAGTCAATACAAACTCGTTGCTCTACACAATACCGTAACGTAGTTCACAAGCGAGTGACGCACCCAAGCGAGTGACGCACTTTTGCCAAGACCTCACCAAACTTCAATCAAGTCGTAATGCCTCAACGCAACAGCGTAAAAACAATCTTAAACGAAGCGGATATACAGCTTGCGATACAGGCTATCCAAAGAGACGCGTCACTAACAACGCGACGCGCTGGAGCTATCTATAGCGTCTCTGAAGCAACACTACGAAGGCGACTCGCTAGGACGCCTCAACGACGCGATTGCGCGCCTAACTCAATAGCTCTTCGAGGATCTGAAGAGATAGCGATTGTTAAACATGTTCTTAAGCTAGTAGAGCAAGGATATCCGCCTAGGCTCGCTGATGTTAAAGAGATAGCTAGTTCTTTACTTAAGATCCGCAATTAGAAGCTAGTTAGCAAGAACTAGGCTGCAAACTTCGTAAATCGTCGTTCTAAGCTTAAAACTAAGTTTAATCGAAAGTACGACTATAGTAGAGCCCTCTGCGAAGATCCTGAGGTTATTTAAGGCTAGTTCCGCCTAGTACAGAATACAAAGGCGAAGTACGGCATCTAGGACAAAGACACGTACAACTTTAATAAGACTAGCTTTATAATAGGCGTAATATTAACTAGCGCGGTAGTTACAGCAGCAGACTGTTAAGGACGGCTAAAGACAGTGCAGCAGGGCAACTAGGAGTAGGTTACAGCTATCTAAGGCATAGACGCGACGAGGTAGGCGATTCTACCCTTTATTATCTTCTAAGGTAAGCACTACCTCTCTGCCTAGTACAAAGAGGAAAACCTGCCTTAAGACTAGGTAATTGCAGTCTCTAAGAACAGCTAGACAACAAACAAGCTTAGTATTGAGTAGTTAGAGCACTTTAACAGGCATACAAAGAGGAGAGTTATTAGCAGTCACCGCCTGCTAGTTCTTGACAGTCACGAAAGCTACAGCTTAATTAATTTCTACTAGCTCTGCAAGGAGAAGAAGATAATCACCCTCTGTATGCCTCTACACTCCTCGCACTTGCTGCAGCTGCTTAACGTTAGCTGTTTTGCGCCGCTAAAGAAGGCGTATAGGTGCTAAGCTAAGAAGCTAATGCGCAATAAGATTACTTACATTACTAAAACAGAGTTCTTACTGTGCTTTATTGCCGCTTAAAACGTCTTAATTACAAAGAGCAATATCCTAGGAGGCTTCTAAGGCGCTAGCTTAGTTCTATTTAATCTAGACGCTGTTATATTGATGCTTAACGTCCGCCTGCGTACTCTACCGTTACCTACTGTTAAGGACGGTCCCTAGCAGTCGCAAACCCTAAGCAATACTCTAGAGTTAGGGTCTTAAACAAAGCTAGTTCTTAAGAGGTTTTAGAGGCATGTAGATAGCTTGCCTACTTTAATAGTTAAGGCGGTGAAAAGCCTCTCTAAAGGCGCAGAGATAATAGCGCATGCTTTAGTGTTGTCGCAAAAGCGTATCGCTAAGCTTAAAGCAGCTAACGAGGCCGCTACGCGACGTAAATTGTATAAAAGAAAGCGAGTACAGAAGGAGGGAACCCTTACAGTAGAGGAAGGTCTTCGACTTACAACTCTAAAGGAGTTTAGAGCGCGCAGCGATAGGAAGAAGGCGAAGAAGAGGGTGCGCGTTAAGGTGGGCGAACCGTCGCAAAGACGCTGTAGACGCTGCGGCGAGGCTAGTCACAACTCGCGCACATGCAAGCAAGATATAGTAGTAGATTCTGAGTAGAATGGTCTATTACGATTTCTGATTACAGTTCTATACGGTGCTGCACTGTCGTGCGCAGTCGTGGTTTTGGTGAGGTCTTGGCAAAAGTGCGTCACTCGCTTGGGTGCGTCACTCGCTTGTGAACTACGTTACCAATCTTTCAAGTTCAGCACAGACACGATGCAGTACCACTTCCACATTCCACATCCGCACTTACGCATGCCGCATGCACATCTGCATATTAGACAACACTTGGATAGGTGGCTAGCTGATGTCGCCGAAGTGTACGGCCGTGCTGCTTGAACAACCAGAGCAGCAGCGAAACCGAGGTAATGCGCAAGGCAGGTAAGTAATAAGTAAAACTCTCATGTAGCTGCGACACGTACTAATTTCTCGCGATAGAAGTGAGACGGGAGATGTAAGGTTGTGTGTTGTTAATGAAGCGAGGACCGGCGTATGGAGTTCAGTTCTTGGGATAACCTGGCTAAACTGGGTAGTTTGAACCTATATCCATGTTGACAAGATTTGATATTTGCGAATGTAAAGACCGGCTCTAGATTGACCCGACCTTGCTTTCTTGTCAGCTCATCTCGCGATTTCAAACAGCGCACAAGGCACCGATTTTAACAGGAAACATGAAGATGTTGGGATCGAACGCATAGCATCTAGGCCCAACTCACCTTGTGCGCTCAAATGCAATTACTCGACAGAGAAGAAAAAAGGTCCGATGAGAGCGCAGCGGCAGAATCCAGACTGCCGAAGGAAAGTGGAAGAAAAACAACCGTCCACCGAATACTCACCGAGTCGCAAATGGCGGTGGTGGTAGCATGCGCCACAGCTCCCATTATACTTTTTTGTTCCTAAGACCCAGGCTTCGATCCGTAGATCCACCGAGCCTCATCATCGGGCAGAAGGCATGCAGTGGGAGAAGAGCCGAAACATATGTACAGTCGCACAGATCTCCACTCTACTCCTCTAAGGGGGCCCAAACTCCTTCTCTTTACAGACGGGTACCACGTCACACATAGATTTGCGCTACCGGTGGATCTGGCCGGCGACCAGGCAGGCGGGTCAAGAGGCAGGGCGGCTATTCTCATCACGATATCTGTGTATTGGACTGGGGGTGGAATCCTGCATCCCACTATAATCCGCTCCTGATCTGTCGTCGGCGATCTAGAAGTCCGCGGAGTTGGATGATCCGGACTGGGGTATCGAGTCAGTTGAGATGGGAAATCGCGATCGTGAACATGGACATTTGTGAAGATTTGCATCATGGGTATAACTGTTGTACGAGGATTAGGTCGCCGGCTTGCTGGATGTGTACCGGGGCTAAAAGGGTGAAAGCGTCATTGGACAGAAAACGGGACTGGGGTTCATTGATTTGGAAATGATGCCTGACAGTTCGGCGAGGCTGCGCATATTGGATCTGTGGGTTCGCACAGTATTCCGCAGAAGGCAACTCCAAGATGCTGCAGTGTTGGCAGCAGGGTACAGAGTAATCATTGATGGGTCATCGTCACGATGCGAACGCGAATCGGGCAGAATGTGTGATGATGGCATTGGGCTGCTGTCGCAGTGCGCGCGATGCATGGCAGGTCTGTTCAGGAAAGGCAGGTGTTGTCTACCGTCCTACCATATCCCGAGAGAAGTGAGACGAGCGTTGGTGTTGATGTCTCATAAACGTTGCTGTCCGATTGACTGTTTCTCGCACAAGGGTGCATTAGTCCCGAATGCGAGGTACATGGCCAAATGGGTGCCTGGTTCGCGGGAGATCAGAGATCAGATTGCTTGACTGGACCCAGCGCCCAAGGGAGAGGGCTCATTCGTTCGGCCGCGATCCGGAGCGATAGGTATCTACGGCAACTGTTCGGCCTCTCAGATGGGAGCCAGCCACTAGGAGGAGCTTCACGCTAGCAAACCTGGGCAGGGGTACGACTCTGGCTAGCTGAGGTGGTCGCTGACTCCGAGAAAGTGGCTTGTGGTTGAGAAGACGGCACATTCCAGCGCGTGAATATTGAACAGAATGATCCCCACCCCCATCGTCTATTGCTTTCAACAGAGGGGTCAAGATAGTTTGCAGAAAGACCGAAGTTGTGAGCTGGCAATCATGACGAGCATATGGCCATGATTCAGGCTGACACTTGGCAATGATCGCCAGGCAGCATGCGAGAGTGGATTGGTGGAGAGCCCCGCCAACAGACGGCCCAGAAGTTTGTTCCTGCGTCGCATCCCCATCAGGCATCGCACCACCACTTCCATGCATCTTCTCAGGAACAGGCTACAGCATCACAGGACCATGATCTCGACATGGTAGCGGATCCATCGTTCGGCGCATGGGGCGCGCTGCGCTAGGCAGTTTGGTGCTTTTTGCTACAGCTGTCAAATACTACTCTCACCGCCCTTGGCGCCTCGAAACATGCAGTTAGCCCAGCGTCCGTGAGGTGGAGGGGTACACGTCTCCCAGACGCGTTGTACCACGATGACAGGGCGGGCGGTGAGATTTGGCCATGAGCTGCTGTTGTTTCGAAATGTTGAACGTGCGAGAAGGCCAGATGCCCACTGTGCTTTTCGTTACAGAATCTCTCGCTTACCTACCCCAGATACAGACATTGCGCTATCTACGTCAGGTGAGCTGTCAGTCTGGACTATCATGCTGGCGTTGAGGGCTGCATGCTTGCGTGTAAGGAAGATTGACAGCAGACTGACCAGAAGGTGCGGCTGAGGCGTCTGGTGCAAGTTCCCAATCCGTGGCTGATCGGCGTCCGCGATCAGATTGCAGCAGGAGGGGTTGAGGCTTGAATTATGCCATGTCTGACGCTTGTGATAGGTTCGTCGTGTAGAGGCGCCACGCTTCTCGAGATTGTGGAGTTTGTGCAGGCCTGAACAGCCAGCCCCTAGGCTCAGCACACTAGCATCTGCCATGGGGCCCCTGCGCAGACGGCAACTAAAAGCAACGAACGCTGATCTGGTCAGAGCGTGAAATGACGGAAACGGTAGAGCCGCAGCCATGTACCACGTTTTTGGGCGCGATCCCTGGGGTCAATCGGCGAGCGCGGCGCTATGGCGCATGCTGGGGTGGATGCCATCCTGATTCCTTACCCAAGTCACGCTCGGTATATAACACTTGATCGCCCTAGCCTTTTGGTTCAGTCAAACTCAAAGCCCAGCACAGCAACAACTACTAGCCTTACATCAAGACCCTCGACCACCAATACAATCAATCATCAACATACATCGGAGCATTCTACCAACCACCAGCCAACATGTACCAGAACCTTGGACGCACACCCAACTGGGAAACCTGCTTCAAGCAAACCCAACTCACCGAGGAGAACTTGCGAACACATACTGCCACCCACAAGAAGGTATGTTCTGACCTTGGATGACGTCTTTATCAGGTCACTGCTAACAGTACAACAGCTCGATAGTGCTTGTGAAATGGATGACCAACTTTACTACCGATATGACGGTGACTTTGCTGAGTCAGACGATGGAAACGTGGAAAGCCAAAGAGAGACCATCGCCTTGAGAAGAGCAGCATCGTTGGAGGTCTTGAAGGCGTACGGCGGGTGCTTCGCCTCTGGCTTCCTCGCACTACAAGAGCCCCTCCCATCAAGGCCAAAATCCAAACTCAGGTCATACGAGAGCGCATACAGCGTCGACATGTCAAGAACGGCTTCCAACGCCACATCACTCGAGACAGCCTCAAGCAGCTGGAGCAGCAACGTCGACATGCCCCGGCCAGATTCGTCTACATTGGGCGCACCAGTACCGGAAAGCAAAGGTGGAAAATGGAGCTGGCGAAGCATGAGGAGGAGTCGAAAGCAAGCTGCGAAGAAGATTGAAGTTTAAAAAAAAAGTTATTTATTGGCTGGCCTGTCGGTCTCTACATTTTTCTTGTGTATATGTTTATTAGCGAAGGCGTTGGGGGATCACGGATACCATGGAAGACTGCGGAATCATCTCTTTTGTCACGAAGCCAATGGCAGAGCCACTCAAAACTCGACGGAAAAAGCACGACTTTGTAGTGTTTAATGTACATATTATACCAAGAAAAGACGGCCTTGATAAGCCTTTTTCGACAAACATGAGCTACATGTACCTTGCAACTTGTGCAGTGTGACCCTACAGTACCCGAAGACCGGAGTCCAGACGGCCAAGCTTGGAGAGCCGGATATGAAACATGAGAGGATAATTGTCTCGCATTGGTTGAGATGTGGAGAGGACCATCAGGAGATGCATCAAGGGCCGACGAACATCTAGACTCGACGACCTGATGAGGAAATCTCAGGCGACAAGCTCAGCCCACGTATGGGCCGTGAGTAAGAGCCGTCTTGTTCGGAGGTCACGATGGTGTTGCGGATGTACTGCGGACTCGTCCATGCATGCCGTGGGGGACGTCCTGCAGGCTGACGGACAAGCACCGCCTGACCCAGCAACCGAGCCAGTCACAGTACGCGCAACCCTTTTGAAGGTGCGTCCAGAGTTAGGCAGGACAAAAACAAAATTCCACAGACAGGAAGGCATTGAAGCTCAACAAGATGGATTGCCGGGTGCGAAGAACAAAAGACGACTCGATTGCTCGATTGTTGGAGCACGAGGCCGGGCAATGACGTACCGGTGGGGCGCTGCGAGGGAGCGGCAAAAAGCTCGGCGCCCGCGTGGAAGTCGCGAGGGTGCAGGTGGTGATGGTGATGAGGCAGGTACGCCCAGGGGTTCCGAGGTGCACGGGATCCTCTGGACGTGTTCGCTCGCTCAGCATCATGCCGCCTGTATGAAGCATTGGTAGCAGTCACGCCGCTTGGTTCTGGCACAATGCAGCTTCTTCACCGCCTGGTCTGTCATTGCCTATCGTGATAGCAGACCCACCACTGACGCCTGCTGCTATGCATTTCTATAGCCATCGGCGGACCTGCCGGCCTTGAATCCCTCAAAACTACTACCTCCCGCCCATTGGAAACCCGTCTTTTCTCTCCAGTCCTACACCGCATACGCCACCCGTACTAGCACTTACAACATATCGTCGTGTGACCGCTGCTTCTCCGTCCCTATAGTCTGAAGCATCTTCATACAAAGGTCCCGCCCCACCCCCACCCCAGCCCTCGACCACCGTTCCAGCTAACCCCAGAGAAGTACCTACCTACGCCGTAGCACCATCTTCACCATCTTCACCACCCAACCCTGCACCCATTGACTGGTGTCTTCGCCCCAACTCCCCCGTAGCATGAGCTCGCAATCTTCCAAGCCCCGCCGAGCTTCGACTGTTCTCGACCCGTACGCTGCACCGCACATATACTATGGCGAGAGTCACTCGCGGAAGCATACCAGAGCCAGGACCTACTCCGCTGTGAGTATCGCGACCCTCCCTTGTCCTACTGTTGTGATGGCACTAATTGAGTGCAGAACGTAGACAATTCCACTCGCAATGCCCCAATTGCCGAGGGTGCCATTGCTGGCCGACGCATCAGTCACGGTGCGTGCCTTCCACAGCACACCTGACGCGACATGTGCTGATAATACCAGATGAAATCTCCCTGCAGCCTCGCCGCTTCAAGATCAACGTTGAAGAAACGCTCCAGCAGCTTCTCGCTCGCGAAGACTCGGACCAGAACTACCAGATCACAATAGACGACAAGGGACCCAAGGTACGACATGATGCATCTCTAGAGAGAACACGGCTGACAAGACACAGACCTTGTCTCTCGGTACTCTTGGCTCCAACGCCTTCAAGAAGCACGATGTCCGCGGCACCTACATGCTCTCGAACCTGCTCCAGGAGCTCACACTCGCAAAAGACTACGGTCGCAAGACCATCGTGCTTGACGAGTCACGCTTGAACGAGAATCCTGTAAACCGCCTGAGTCGCCTCATCCAATTCTCCTTCTGGGACGGTCTCACACGCCGCATCGACGGCTCCAATATTGCCAAAGTCGGTGTCGATCCCAAGGACTGGACAGACGACCCACGTCCGCGTATATACATCCCCCAGGGCGCACCTGAGCAGCACGAGTACTACACCCGCATTGCTCGTGAGCATCCCGACATGCGTCTGGATGTCATCTGGCTGGACAAGGATTGCGACAACAACGATTACGTGCGCGATCTGAACAAGGCACCCGGTCTGCTCGCTATTGCTATGGAAGAATGGATAGACCCAGAGACGAAGAAGAAGGACCTCAGGGGTCTGCCGTTCGTCGTCCCAGGTGGCCGCTTCAACGAGCTCTACGGATGGGACAGCTATATGGAGTCGCTCGGTCTCCTCGTCAACGACCGTGTTGACCTAGTCAAGTCCATGGTCATTCACTTCTGCTTCTGCATCAAGCACTACAACAAGATCCTCAACGCAAACCGCACTTACTACCTTTGCCGATCTCAGCCTCCCTTCCTCACCGATATGGCTCTGCGATGCTATGAACGCATCAAGCATGAGCCTGGTGCGCTCGATTTCCTACGCGAAGCCATCCTTGCTGCCATCAAGGAATACCACTCAGTTTGGATGAGCGCGCCTCGCCTAGACCCCGTTACTGGGCTCACCAGGTACCGGCCTGGCGGACGAGGTGTGCCACCTGAGACGGAAGCCAGCCATTTCCACCATGTTTTGATGCCGTATGCTGAGAAGCATGGTATGACATTTAAGGAGTTCGTCGATGCATACAACAACGGACGTGTCGAAGAGCCTGAGCTTGACGATTATTTCCTACATGACCGTGCTGTACGTGAATCTGGCCACGACACTTCATACCGTTTAGAGAGGGTCGCCGCAGATCTTGCAGTTGTCGACATCAATGCGCTTCTTTACAAGTACGAAGTCGACATTGGCCGTTGCATCCGCAATCACTTCGGTGACAAGCTTGAGATCCCAGACGGCTTCCGCACTGGTGACATGAAGCCTGGCCACGTTGAGAACTCTGCCACGTGGGAGCGCCGCGCTAGAAAACGCCGCGTTCAGGTAGACAAGTATCTCTGGGATGAAGAAGCTGGCATGTACTTCGACTACAATACAGTCAAGCAAGAACGCACCGGCTACGAGAGTGCCACCACTTTCTGGCCCATGTGGTCTGGTCTTGCTACTCCTCGCCAGGCTAGCATTCTTGTGGAGAAAGCCCTCCCTAAGCTGGAGGCATTTGGTGGGCTTGTTTCGGGTACAGAGAAATCGCGCGGCAAAGTCGGCCTTGACCGCCCCAACCGTCAGTGGGATTATCCATTTGGCTGGGCGCCGCAGCAGATGCTCGCTTGGGTCGGTATGCAGCGATACGGGTACGATGCAGAAGCCCAACGCCTGGCTTACCGCTGGCTCTTCATGGTCACCAAGGCATTTGTTGACTTCAACGGCGTCGTTGTTGAGAAATACGATGTCACGAGGAAGATTGATCCTCACAGGGTGGAGGCCGAGTACGGTAACCAAGGCAGTGACTTCAAGGGTGTTCCTCGCGAAGGGTATGTCCAATCCTTACATTCTTGTTCATTCACGACTAACATTGATCAGCTTCGGATGGGTCAACGCAAGTTACGTTTACGGTCTCACGCTCCTCAGCGCACACCAGCGCCGTGCTCTCGGTGCGCTTACCGATTGGGACAGCTACTCAAAAGCCATGGAAGATCTTGGTATGATGTAAACGACTGCCAGTTACTTTGTTACGACTGTACGATGTACATTGCATTGGATGTTGGGTCTGCTTCCTGATTCGAGTTAGAGGCGTAGTAGGAAATCTGTCTGAGCCATGCTTATGGATTTTGCTTGCAAGTCCAGGGGAGAGTGCTAGACGTATGAGCACAGCAAATTTTAAAGGATGTGGTACTGCAGGAGCTTTCGGTATGGTGCTAGGGGCTGAACTCGGCATGACGGTGTAACTTATACCTATGATCAAACGAAATGCATCAATAACGTTAATTTTCCATGCCTTCTTTGGAGTGTCACAGACTTACAGTCACAGCTCTCATGAGTGCCTAGTGATGTATCGCAAGCCTATCTCAGAGATCGTTGCCCATCATCATGCTACGCGCTCGCCCCACCAAAATCCCACGCGTCGCGTACCTTTCGACACGGGCGTGACCCTCGTCCAGCACCACCTCCACCACACAACATTCGCTTAGGTTCGCCACCAGAAAACGCAAGAGTACTACATTCCTCCATTAGACCTTCAACATGCCTTCGGTGCCGATTCACCTTCCTTCGGCAACACCCTCTCGCGCCGAGAATCCTCTTCCACAGCTCCTCCACACACCCTCTGGCCTAGCACTCATAGAAATTCAAGGCACAATCCACTTCCCAACGCCTACAGAATTCTCCGGGCCCTCTACACAAGTTGGAAAGCTCGTCTTTCCATACTACAATCCCAACATCAACGATCCGAGCGACACAAAATGGATGAAACGCGTATACATGTACATTGGCAAAGGCCAGCGCATGACAGGCGAGTGCAAGAAGTTGCCCAAGCCATATGGGGTCATGCGCAAGAAAGAAAAGACAGATGTTGAAGATGTAGCCATGGGTGGGCTTGAACAAGAGGACGGTGCGAAGGAGGAAGAGCTGGAGATTGTAGAGGTGGTGAGGTACAAGATTGTGTTTTCTTCGCGACCGGAGCCGATTAGTGGGGTTTCTGAGGTGGAATGAAAAGTCGGGAAGGAAAGAGAAGACGTGTTTTCGCCCGAATCCGAAGTTGAGGAGAACCACTCTTGGTGGTCTAAAAGCTTTCGAACGATCGCGCAACGATGAGAAATACACTTGCATATCGTGTCTGATATGACAGGCCTCAAGTCATCGATACAACCTTCGCAAATTAGCGAGAGCACTCGTTCCAAGGTTGCGATATGATTCACGGGACACACCAGCGAATCTTTACGCCCAAAAACGCGAAAAGTATGACTAGGTCGACATTGCAGACTTCCGGGAGAGCGTCCAATAAGCCTCCGTTATACGCGATAGGAGCTGTGTCCGGGCTACACGTTCCGTTGCCAACCTTCGTATTCGCTACTGCCACAAGGATTGGATTTGAGCCTCTCAAGACTCGGAATATTGATTAAGCAATTTGGTGTCGCACAAGCATATTGCTGTTCAGCCTCGTTCCTGGGTTCTGGTGCTCGCTTGCAGGCATATTGCACTTTAGCCACTTTATGCGGCGACCACGGTCCGACTTATATTTGGGTCATGCACTATATGCGGTCACATGGTGACATTCTGGAATACACATAGAAGATATATGGTATCGGTGTTGCATACCTTCAGCTGGTCATTTCTTGGGAAGATTCAGCAAATTCATCATCTGTTTAAAGCACCATTAATCACAAACTCAACATGCAGTACTCAACTGCGGCTCTGTTAGCCTTGTTAACTAGCACTGCTTATGCTGCTGTGGGAGATTGGCAGCAATGTACGCTCGTCTCGAAGTCGTATGTAGGCCTTTGCTAATGAAAGATCAGGTGGTGGTATTAGTTGGTCTGGTGAGACCACGTGCGGTTCAGGTGCAGGCTGCGTCAAGATTAAGTGAGAAACTGGTTGTATCCTTCTCTCACGACACATCTGATGATCTTCAAGTGACTACTACTCTCAATGCCAACCCGGTGCAGCCCCGGCGCCCACTGCGGAGCCACAACCCGACCCTGTGCCACAACCAACACCTACAACCTTTACAACAGTCTCTCCAGGTGCACCCACTGTCAGCAGCACCCCATCGGGAACCGGGCCGGGCAAGACACTTCAGAGCGGCTACTATTGGATCCGCGCAGTCGCCGCGCCCAACTTCCATAAATACTTCCAAACCAAACCCCTCTACTCGACAGGATCAGCCCTCCTAGGCGACTACACCACAGCCGGCCAGTTTCAAGTCGTTGACGGTCAACTAGTTGAATTAGTATCCGCTCCCGGTGAGCCTGTCAAGCTTCTCTATGCTGTGGTATCCGAGGAGCGCTCTATAAACGGCATGTCTCTTGCTGTTAGCTTCTCCGAGAGCAAGAACACGTACGGAACGTTTGCATGGGGTGGGGACGATCTCCAATGGAGTGTTTCTGGTGTCAATCGCCCGAACAAGAGTGCATGGTATGTGTGCACTGGGCAGAAACTGTATATCAACTTGGGTAACTACTTGTATCAGACGCCAAGTGGGTGTGCTGATCAGACTGTGCATTACTACAATGATAAGACGGCGAACAATTAGCAAGAGAGAGAAGGAAGCAGGAGATACGGTAGAGCAAGAATTACAGATGCTGGGATGGCTGATGATTCGTAGCCATCGATTTGGGGAAGAAAACCACCCCACCACGAGACAGATTAGTGAGTGGTAATCCCTGCAGTGTTACGTACCAAAATAAGAACAAGAAGGCGACGTTTTCAGGTGTCCACATGAGGTGTCAATTCGAGATGTTTGTACTATGTCCATATATCGCCAAAATTGATGTATATCGGAACGTCCTGATATCTTAAGTCCACACGCTCCATATGCCTCATGGCATCCGTATGACTTACATGCTCTCCTGGAGATCTATAACCAACGTCAAATGCTGACCTCATCTCGGCGACCCTAAAGCCTTCCACAGATGACAGCGACGACACTGCCCAGGCTATTACACAAGGGTTGGAGCGGCCAATCGCATCCATGGACCGGGTCTTTACCGTACTGGCCGGGTGCGCAATGCACGAAAGGGCAAGTAGGGCCGCGGCCACCCAGATAGCGCTCAACATCTTGGAAAGGCGCGCCGTCCTCAGCGGAAAGGTTGTACCACATGCGGCCATCATGGCTGTCCACAGAATACTCAATTTGGTAGACGCGTAGATCCGCTGGGTGGTAGGCGACCTTGACTGTATGTTCGTCAATCGGTGTTGTTGAGAATGGCATGGGGTCGAATGCAAGACGTGTGAGAATACGTACTGACGTGACCACACTGATTCATCTGGCATGGGAAAGGCGCCTTATATCTCTGGCCCGGCTTGATTTCGACCATGCTGGTTTCGCCGAGGTTGTCGCATTTCTCGTGGCTAGGTCCAGAGCTGATTGGGGAGATTGAGAGACGAGCCCAGACAGAGAAAGAACAATGATTCCTAACTTCACCGCGAATCTGAGGGACATTTGGATCGCTCGCCATGCCAGGGACCAGAACGGAGGCCATTGATGAGCCTGGTTCGATAGTAGAAGCCAGGAAGTTGTCTGGGGTGAGGACATGGCGCCAATCCTTAGACATAAGGTTGGGATTTGGAGAAGTCGGTGCAGCGTTTAGGAGTACAGTCAGGAAGCCGGGCGCCACTGGACATGGTCAGTGTTGAGAAGGTAACGGGGGTCAAGGAGACTCTTACCAGCGAAGAATTTGGAAGAGTACATATTGTACTTGACAAATGGATCTGGTTGTTTCTGAAAGATCTGGTAAGCGAGGTAAGTGAGTAAGATCGAGTGCTATATAGAAATAACCTTCGGAGAGAGATGCAAACCAAGGAAGTCGAGGCTGATATAGAAGGAAGGAACAAGAGGGAGATCACATGTTATAAGCCACTGATTTGGCGCTAATGGCGCTATTCCAGTGTGCTCCTACCGGTATTGCGATCGGAAAACATATGTGAGCATCTTCGCGACAAATACGTATGTGGAGTGGGAGGCGGTAGGCGCACGGGGAGAATGAGGGCACTCAGAAGACTGAAAGCGTTTGCTGGAGTAATTGGAGAGCATGAAACAGAACACGGCGACTATCGAGTTGTTTGAAATCAGAGATCACGTTGTTGGGTCATGGGAGAATTGAATGCCTCAGATATTGGGTGTTTGTCTAATGTGCTCAAGAAGTCGAACAATACTGTGAGTAGTTCACCAGTCTCTTGGCACTTCCGGTATTAGGTGTTTCCGTGACGTTTAGCACCACACCGCCCATTGTGCTTGTGAGTCGAATAATTAGCAAGAAGGCGCAATTGTAACGTAGAGTGAGGCTTTAATGTTGCCTACGAAATGAATGCTTCAGACCCAGAAAAGCCTCCTCATAGCATAGTCTTTGCAGCATGCCATCCTGCAGCCCAATGCCAGAGCCGTGCATCGATAGTCTTGCCCTCCTGGTCGTACCTGACTAGGCGATCGTATAATTCATCAATCGGAACCACCACTCTCTCGATGAACTCGCCATCGTCAAGCACCTGCTCTGGCTCCTTGTCACCTTCCTTCAAGTTGATCTCCACCATGGCCAGCTGCATGTTCGCCGTGCTCAGACCAGGATCCGAGACGATAGTCGGGCTGATAAAGGCCAACTTGCCCTTGTACCCAGTCTCTTCGTGTAGCTCTCGTACGCTGGCCTCACTAGGTGACTCCTTCTCGTCAACTAGGCCGGCAGGAAGCTCGACGCAGACGGCGTTGACAGGCGGGCGGTACTGCAGGATGATAATAGTGGAAGGCGGGCGCGAGGGGTGGCGGATGATTGTTGTTATGGCTACAGCATCGACGCCTGCCTTGCCCCGTGTCTTGCGTGCCGCGGCTTCCCAGACGCGATCTCTACCCGTTTGATCTTGCCATGAGATTTTCTGGAACTCGATCCACTTGGCCTCGGTTGCAGGAAGCTCTTCTACCTTGATGATCTTTGGTTCTTGCGGCATGTTGTAGGCTGCGCGGAGTCGTGTACGGGTATGAAAGGTGCGTGGGAGGAAGCTGTTGAGTACAGTCTGATTGAATAATTGGACTGTGCTGCAAGGGCTGGGTTGAGTCGAGGTTGGGATGCGTTTTACCAAGGAACAAACCAGGCGTCTGTGCATTGGTAGTGATTGTCAACATGTATTGAGCGTGGACGCTGACGTATAAGACTCGGAGCTACAGCATCAGCCCCACTTCGGGTCATCACGAGGTCACGTGCGCACACAGGCTATATGGTCTTCTGAGAACCAAACGACACGCTGCAACATGGTAATGATAGCCACCCTCTAGCTTACATAGCGGTAAATGGATTATTTGGGAACGTGGACTTTACAGGGTGGTATCATCGAGGTGGCCCCCTGATGTCCGTCAACTTAACCATCAACGGACTCTTCTCCCAAGTATTGTACGCCTTCAATCCCTCGAACTCATTCTTTGGGTGCCAAAGCGGCGCTCCATCCGCCAGCTCGATATCAAAGTTCCAGAGAAGCGCGCCCAAAATCAATCGCAGCTCGACATATGTCAAGTTTCTGCCAATGCACCCTCGTGGTCCGGTTGAAAAGGGCTGCGCCGCTTTCTTGGAGTCGCCAGCAAACTTTCCTTTTGACTCTGGCGTGTCAAGGAAGCGCTCAGGAATGAAAGAGTCGGGTTCTGCGAAGTTGGACGCCGAGTGCGACGCGCCCCAGGAACTGACACAGACGGATGTGTTTTCGGGAACGGCATGGCCATCGATCAGCGAACCGCCTTTGGGCACTGTGCGGAGAAGACCGATAGGTACGGGAGGGAAGATTCGAAGACCTTCCTCAATGCAGGCATTCATGTACGGTAGGTTGCCAAGGACGTCCATATTGATATCCGCTTCAGTCTTACACGCGCCTCTTAGCTCATCTTTCAGCTTCTTGAATGTTTCTGGGTTCCTCAAGAGGTAGTTTGTCAACCCGCAAAGCTCTGTTGCAGTGGTTTCACTCCCTGCCACGATGAACAGCGCTGCGTTCATGATGACCTCGTCGTCGCTGACTTCGTTCTTCTTCTCTCTTTGTTTCAAGATATACCAGATGAAATCGCGATGATCGTTGTCTTTTTGATTCAATCTCTTCACAGTCTTCTCGGTCGAGTTGCGTAAATGGCGGAAACGGCGCTCGCGGACGACCGTAGGAATGCACCACATGAGGAACTTCTGAGCGACAGAACCGGGCCTAGCGAAGCGGCGGGTAGCTTGTTCAATAGCGCCGGACTTTATGGCTTCGTAGATTAATACAACCCAATTTGCCGATTCCGAACCTTCGCCTGTGCATAGTGTGTCAGTACAAAGTAAGAGACAGGTCGCACTAACTACTGTCTTAGTGAAACGTACCTTCTCGCAGACACCCGAAAGGCTCGCCAAAACTAAGATCACCAATGATATCGAAAGTGCAAAAGTTGAACCACGATACCATGTTCGCCGGTTCACCTCTGTGTGCCTTCTCCCTCAATCGATCTACAAATAGATCTACGTATCCCTTCAAGATCGACTGTTGTTCTAGCAGTGCCTGCTTGCTGAACGCATGAGCAAGTGCTCTCCTCTGCCTCGCATGGTGGATATCCGGTGCCATTGTCAGGTTGGTGGCACCTGGTATTGCTTCCACCGCACCAACATGAATAGGATCTTTATCCATGTTCGCAAGTCCGACCCGGTGTCCGTAAATGTCGTCCCATGCTTTTGCTGTATTGAAAGAGAGCTCGTTGGGCATGACACGCACGACGGGCCCGTATTTGTCGTGATGAATTTTGTACTCAAAGGCAATGCGACCACGTAGCAAGGAAACGATGGAGGGTATAGGAGAGATGCGCCATAATAGCGGTCCAGGATATTTGGCAAGCGGGTGAAGTGTGAGGTTATATACAGCTGTCACAACTACATATGCGACGAACTAGGGCTGTCAGGTCAGCTCTTAGACACGAATTCGTTAAGAACGTACCGCGACGGGCGTCCATATAGCAATCAGACGAAGACGATCTTCATCTACAAACCCCATGGCGAATTGTATCTTCTGACCTATCTTTTCAACATTCGAGAACCAGGAAAGACTGATGGCAACAGCTAAGTTGAATCGAATGAAGTAAGGTTAAACAGAAAATTGAATCGAACGATTGATGAAATATACCAATTCTGACAGGCTCCTGTGACCATGACGCTACCAGTACTGCGATGTGTAGTCATCCGGTCTACCTGTAGCGGCAGCTGCTCGCCAAAGCATTTCCGACGCTTTATATGCAAAGGAAAATGGGAGACTTGCCAAAAGCATCAGAACATAAGAACTGACCGTCAAGCGAGGTTCTCGGAACAAGATTGCGCTGATTCACAGCATATGCCGTCGCCTTGAGGCGTAATTACCCGTAATGCGAACTTAGGACAAGCAATCACCTCGTCTTTGAGAACGGTGAATTTCCAAAGTTGGAATTTGGATATGCTTTAGCGTGATGTAGCGTGAACGCCCCGCGTGCCCGCATGTTAACCCCGCACAGGATTTCAAAGTTGCATCTGGCGAATAAGCGCAAGTCATTGATACGCGACTCGTGAAACGCGTCGGAACGATGAGGCTTGAATCGTAAAGGCAGTACAATATTCAAGGCGCCTTGCATGACATCGATGAAGACTGGAGCGGAGGGAACCGCCTGTAGCGAGTTTGTAGTCACACCCAATTGCTCTTCTGCTGTGCTCGGTCTAGCAATATGGATTGCTCAACCAATATTCAGCTTGCTTGTAAGACATCCATGATACGAGGCGTCCAGTCCATGTCCTGAGTACTGTCGGATGGCAGTATACGCCTTGAAGCTTCACCGGACCAAATGATTCTTGACACCTGGCCAATGATGTATGTTCAAGATCTTAAGTGGTCATGTGTGGTACTGTACCGCAATAGGCGCTGTTATTAGCCCTTTAGCACTGATGGTCTTGATAGCCTCCAGCCAGATCTCCCCCATGTGAAAATACCCAGCGTACGACGGATGCAACCCATCAACCAACTCGCTAGGCCCGATGATGCTGTGATCGACGATCGCGAGCTTGAAGCCCTGTTCAAGCTTCTTCCTCACCACCATAGGCACTGCATCGTTGAAGGCCTCGATATTTGCCCTGGTCTGCATCTTCTCTGCCTGTATGATCTTTGCAACAAGCACAACGGCATCCGGGCATACATCCAGCACATCATCCAGTAAACTTGCCAATCGATTCGGCGCATCAGACCATCTTTCTGCCGTACTTTCAGGGCGAGCCAGATCATTCGTGCCAACGTGTAGCAGCACCAAGTTTGGTCGCATTTGTAGCCCAGCTCTCATTACGCCCTGCAGCTGGCTAATTGTATGCCCCTCATGCCCCTCATTGTCATTGTTGTCCATGAACCCAGAGTGCTGTGTGCCAACAAAGTCAACCGAGTGGTAGCGCGCACGTACGAGCTCACGTAGCAGTCGCGCGCGATATCCGTCTGTTCCATTCTCTTGGTTTGGTTGCCAGCCCCATGTTGTTGCGTCGCCAAGTGGTAGTATGCGTAGTGGGAGGTTGAGGTTCGCGCCGGGTTGTCTGTGGGGAAGGCCAAAGATGAGTAGGATCACTGCAAGGATGTTAGCGATACACAAGATGTAATTGTCTTGACGCACGAGTGAACAGAGATATTCACTACATTCTCCAAGCAGCGTCGTGGAGTTCTCAATGCTTCAATGGGGATTTGAGTCGACTCCGTGCATAGCATTAGCATAGCGTTAGCATCGCGACGTACCTAAGCAGATCACGCCCACCAGGCCTATACCCTTCGTGACAGCCTTGTATCGCAGGCCTCCAACGGATGGATACATCGTAGAATGCTGAGAATTGTCATTTGTCGCGGAGATCCGAATCGCTTCGTAAGCGTTGCGGTCGTGCAGCTGTGAGGGGTTTTGCTATAAGTCGGTGGTGAACGTCATAGCTCTAGTCATATAGGGGCATTGCGCTATTCATAGATGGTGCTACTTTTACTAGGAGACGCGCGTTATAAGCAGGAACTGGATGCATCTTCAGTTTCCGCTGCGCCAGTCGAAACGGCACTGGACCCGGCAATAACGAGTTCAGGAGGTGTTACGTCGGACCCTTGTACGCACGAACCCCTTGACATGAACAGCAGAGCCTTGCCTCCACAACATCATGGTATAACCTTCGCTTTCCTCATGCGATCAAACGCAGTCGTCCATGTTTCCTTAGTTGCTATTTCCTCTGTATACCCAACCTTGTGTGAAGCCTCCATACTCATCTGGCGGTCGAAATCAAACATCGTCATGATAAAGTACTGGTGCATGTTAGCTACCACGCCCGCGAAAGACACCCTCAGCAATCCTCTTCACTTACCTGGAATCCCGGATGCGTGATATCGCTATCTACGCTACCTTTCTTGAGGTTGTGCTTCTTCTCTAGCTCCTCCCACTCCTTCTTGTGCGCGTCAATGTACGCTCCAGGCTGAGGTGAGCCCTCTTCAGGTCCAGTACCCTTTAGACCAAAGTAATCACAGATTATCGGCCACTTGCCGCTCCAGCTGTCTTCTTGACCACCCACGTTAAAACTCTGTGATGCGGTTTTCTCTGGGTTCAAAGACGCATGGATAGAGAAGTGCGCGACCATGTCTTGCGGAGACTCATTGTACTTGTTCACCCACGATTTCTCAGTACCAGGGAATGGACACTTTGCGCCTTCGCCCTCAATGGATCGATAGAGCGAAAGATACAAGGCAAGTGTTTGCGCGAGGCAGTATGCGTTGTTATTTGGTACGAATCCAATGATGTTGTCTGGTCGGACCTCACACCAACTCCAGTTCTTTCCTTTGGAGATGCGTTTCAAGCAATCAATCTGGTTGTAGTAGAAAAGCTGTGAGAGGTATGGCTCCGGAATCGGTGGCAATGTCTCCTTGAGTGGTAGCGCATCCGCAAATGGAAACTTGTCGAGCATCTGGCAGCCGTAGATTTTGGTGCCCGTGGGAAGAAGTACGTATGACAATTTGGATGAAAGATGATCGATGGCAGTCACGGCACGCTCGAGCATGGCTTCATTGGTCTTGCACTCGGAGTCGGGGTCATCGATCTGCTTGTATGCTTGGTCGTGTTAGACCCGGCAAATTTCCCAGGAGCCTTTAACTTACAGTAAAAGTACACTTGTGTCACAGTCTCGACGTCTTTGACCTTCTCTTTGATTTGCTCCTCCAGCTCCTCCAGCGTTCCTTTGACTAGATCGACACCAGATACGATTTGAAGTCTGGGGTCGTCAGGCCAGAGAGCCATCTCACGTGTCAGTGGCCGATTGACCATAGCTGTGACCCTGGAGAAGGCATCTTTGGAGGGATATCCGTTGAGGATGGCATTAACAATAGACCACCCTGAGATACCGGAAGCGCCGTAAACAAGCGCGTGGTTGCTCATCGTTCAGACACTAGACACACGTCAAGATAGGTTCTCCGAGAAGCATGCACAGTGAAGAGCTCGTGGGGACAGGAACGCGACGCGTATCAGCTAGACCCTAGTATATGTACTTGCTTTCACATTTGAATTAGCCTATATCGCTTTGGAATGTACTATGACTACCCAGGCCAGCCACACTGCAATATGCAAAACCCTTGTGCTCGCAGCAGTCTGGTGCTGTCAATGCTGATGCGGAGAACAATATCCAAGATGTGTCTGACGGACTCTTCCCCGCAGCGTCGACCACCATGACTCGTGCAGTGACGCTCTTTCGGTTGCTATCCCGACTGCTTGCAGTTCTCGGAAGAAGCCGAACAGCGTTGTTACAGTGCATGTGGGGTGCGATGTGAAGTCGTCGTAGACAGAGTGTCATGGTCATTGCCAGCATCTTCATGTTGTTCGCCAGGCCATGGACCCCTGTCATGGCGCCTCTCCGACCCTCCGACGTCGGCCTATCTTATCATGCACGCTAAAATTTTGGGAAGTTGCGTCACGGCGAACAGTCACTTGGAGTGCATCGGACGAGGCCTTGAACTTGTTTGTAGATTACAATGGCTTCACGAATGGCTTCCAAGCGCGTATGCGCTGCATTGCGTACATCGCGTGTCAACTACACGTCGGCGCGGTTTGCTTCGGCAGCCTCTGCAGTTAGGGGATCCAGTCTACCACAGGATGTAAAGGATGCCATAGCCGTGAGTACCAACCAATTTGCACTCTTTTGACGCCTTCCATAATGACTCGGTATAGCGCGATTCTACACTGGCCACGCCCGACCCATCCTCATCCTCCAAGACAGCCGGCCTGGTCAACCAGCAGCTACCGTACATGGTCCCAACCTATGTACGGCCACCGCCCATGTTCGAGAAGGGAGAGGGGTGCTACATGTGGGACATTGAGAACAGGAGGTACCTGGACTTCACAGCTGGTATCGCCGTCAATGCGCTCGGGCACTGCGACGCTGGGGTAGCCCAGGTCATTGGAGAACAGGTGCGTCTGCCACCACTACCAAGGATACAGCCAACTGACAACTGTACAGGCCAAGCAACTCATGCACACTTCAAACCTCTACCACAACCCGCACACAGGCTTGCTGTCCAAGCAGCTCATTCAGCTCACACATGCGACTGGGGGCTTCGCCAGCGCAACTCGCACCTTCATCTGCAACAGCGGTTCCGAAGCCAACGAGGCTGCCATAAAGTTCGCGCGCAAGGTCGGCAAGTCAATGTCACCAGACAAGGACAAGCATGAGTTCGTGTCCTTCCACAACTCATTCCATGGCCGGACTATGGGAAGTCTGAGCGCGACACCAAACCCCAAGTACCAGACACCATTTTCCCCAATGGTGCCCGGCTTCAAGTACGGCACCTTCAACGACGTCAACGCCGTCAACGAGCTAGTCACCGATGCCACATGTGGTGTCATTGTAGAGCCAATCCAAGGAGAGGGTGGCGTAAACGTCGCAACGCCCGAGTTCCTTCTCGCGCTGCGAAAGAGATGCACAGAAGTCGGCGCAGTCCTCATTTTCGACGAGATCCAATGCGGCCTAGGCCGAACAGGTACTTTCTGGGCACATGCAGGCTATCCCAAGGAATGCCACCCCGATATTGTCACCACGGCCAAGGCACTTGGCAACGGTTTCCCTATCGGTGCCACTATCGTCAACGATTTTGTCTGCGAACATATCAAGACTGGTGACCACGGCACCACTTTCGGCGGCAACCCTCTTGGATCGCGTGTCGCTTCATACATCCTCTCTCGCCTGTCATCGCCAGAGATTCTCGACTCGATACCCGCTAAAGAGCAAGCATTCCGCAAACACTTTGATATTCTGCGAAAGCGCTTCTCGAGCCAGATCAAGGAAGTCAGAGGCAAGGGACTTATCCTAGGCCTTCAACTCGATGTAGATCCCACGCCCATCGTTACTGCTGCTCGTGAAAGAGGTCTCCTGATCATCACCTGTGGTACAAACACCTTGAGGTTTGTCCCACCACTTGTCATCACCGAAGCAGAAATCGAGGAGGGCATGCAAATCCTGGGCCAGGCCATGGAGAGTGTATGGATCAAGCACGATGACGTCGAGGGCACGGATGGTCAACAGGAGATGCGATAATGCACGTCCTGGTTAGCATGGCGTTCATCGGCGTTCTAGACAGGTAGCATTGTACATATTTCACCAAAATGGCATAAGGCAGATGAAGTTGAAGTGTATCTAGAGGAGTGTATTATTGATGTTCGCGCTCAGATACTGTATTGCGTCGAAGCAGTAAGAACAGAAGCCGAAGCCAAGAATGACGGGTATAGATGAAAAGAAGAAACGCTCCATCGTCACTGGAGATGGATGAGCCTGCAATTGTACGCAGAACGTGAAATAAAAGCCGTCGTACCTCAACCATTGCCGAAGATACTAGCCGATGGCGCGAATGAGGCTGCACCAGCCGCTGACATACTACCGTCGTGAGTTTGCCCTCGCAGTGGCAAGCCACGATCCGAGTCGGTCCCAAAGGGTGTCGTCGCAATGTGGGCATCATGCACGTTATTCAACTTGCCTTTTCTTGCACCCTTGGAAGTCTTTGCCTTCTTCTGCGGTGCATTTTCGGTCTTCTTCTCTGCACCTCCATACCGATGGTACCTGTGCCGGTTCGGGCGCCCAAAAACTTGCTGCGGTGTCTGCAATAGTGCGAAGCTTGAAACGCCTTCGCCCTCGTCGTCCCCTACAGACAGTATCTGGGCGTTCTGAATAATCTCAACGATGCCAGCATCGTCCTCAAGCTCTTTGGCTTCTTGATGATCAGCACGAGACATCTTCTTCGCGCGATTGAAGATTGCATGCTCAATCGTGTTTTCAAGAACAAGTGTTTCAACGAGCACTTCTTTCGTCTGTCCGATGCGATGGGCTCGTTTGATGGCTTGGGCCTCGATGTTAGGCCTATTGATTGGGTTCACAATGAGCACAACGCTCGCCGCATTCAGATTCAACCCCAGAGCACCACACGCGACGTCGATGAGCAAGACACGAACGTCCGGATCCTCGTTGAACAAGCGTACGTACTCAGATCGTAGAGTGTTGTTCAGAGTTCTGGCGTAGATGCGGTGGTTGACATACATAGACTCGAGGCATTGGGCAATATAGAACGCCGCGTTATCCCCGTCATAGAAGATGATAATTTTATCTTCCGCCTGATGTTTCATCACCTTGTCTAAGAGATAGGTAAGCTTGGCTGACGTCGTACCCACGATACGTGTGTTCCGCAAACTCGAGTCTTTGGCAAGTTCCGCTGTCTCGTCATCAAAGGTGAGCTTTCGTTTCTTTGAGCGAATAGGTGATGCACTATCTGTGTGATCTTTAATGCCATTTACAGGCTTGGCTCCTGTTGGTTTTGGAGGAGAAGCTTTGCTTGTAATGGTCGATGCCCGTCGACTAGTCAGTGGCTGCACCAACGAAGTTGGAACTCCAGTCCTTTGCAAGGGCGCGTCATCGACCATACCCTCGCTCGACCCTTTGGCCTTGCTTTCTTCTTCAGCCATCGCGATAGCCTTTGCTTTCGCAGCATACCCAACAGCCTCCAGCCCGGCGGCGGGGTCTAGCGAGCGTATGCTGCTATCGACGTGAAGTTGGCCTTCAATGAGTTGTGTGGCTCCGATCATGATAGGCTTCGCCGGGTAAACAAGTGCGAAAGCCTCTTGAGCCTCCTTTGGCCAACTCTCGACAGCTACGCCTACCTCATGAGATGTGCTCAATGCCATCCATTCAGCGGAAGCTGTAAGTTTTGATACGACTTGGCTGCTCTCCAGGAGTGATTTTGCGTCATCAAGGGAGCAAATTTTGTCCTCTTTGGCAAGGTACTTGTTAGTAGTCTCAAGCGTGGAGACTACATCAGAAAGACTGAATCCAGTCCATGTAAAGTTGGACTGACGTAGATTCCTGATGAGGCTATGACGGGCTTTGACGCTGTTTTTGTGAAAAAGGTAGTCGACATCGGTCCTTTCGCTTGTAATGGCGTTCGCTCGGAGGACTTGAACGAAGAGATTGGCTATCATTTTATCAAACCAACATGGCTTGAGATACACAACACGGTGTCTCATCGGAGGCAAAATGATATCTTTCTCAACATCTTCCGGTCGTGTTTTCACGACCAAGCCTTCCAGCGTTCGGCTAAAACATGATGAGAATCCGGAATAGGTCTTTCTGTAGTGGTGCTCGTGACGGTAGATATATTCGTCCCAATCGAGTTTGGCTTCAGAGTTGTCGCACCAGGGTCGGACCATGAGAAAGTTTGAAGCGAGCATGCCTAGCGCCTTTGCAGCTTTGGTGTCTGCGTTGAGTTCGAATGATTTCCTCTGGTCGATAGCGAGCTCGCGCTGCAACGCATGGTCGCTTTCCACGTCAACTGTGGACATATCCACCTCCACACCCACTAAATCCTTCGCAGGTGCTGTGAAAAAGAATATCAGTCTACGTGTAAATGAGGAACTCTCCTTTGTGACTTACTTCCTGATACAACCCAGCGTCTCTCGGCCTGTATCTGTTTCGCAACTAGTACAGCATTGGAAACAGAGCTCGAGAACGAATGGCCTTCGTCGATGATGATACGTAGCCAGTGTATCTTCTTCAATGGCGACTCGTAGACTCTATCAGTGTCAACACAGCTACAATCAGGTATTCTGGTTGCTCCTATGTAAGGGCAGTTGCAAACACGAGAGACACCAGAGGCCATACGTCGTCCAAGTTCGTCCTGGCCGTCCTGTATCTCCTGTTCGAAGCGGTTGCGAGTAAACAAGACCACATCGAACTTCATGAGTTCAGTAGGAGCTGGTAGTTCGCTCCGGAACTCCATAGTCTCGTTAGGTTGTTGAGATATCTTGGTCTTACTTGAGCGCTTGGGCACAGAATCCACCACGAGAATCTTTAGTCCACCTTGAAGAACATGCTTCTGTATCTCCGACTGCCACTGATGCAGCAAGTTCCGAGGCACAATAATGATGGTAGCGGAAGAGAGCACTAGTTGGCGCGGTAGTGGTATGCGGGTGTTCCTATTCATACGTGGGAGATCTGGTGGTATCTCATAGAATGGGATGTCTCGATCAAGGGCTTCCATGAATCTCGTCATGTCTCCCGCACCGTTTGCCTCAGATTGCTCAAAAAAGGCTTTTGCTGGAATGGAATGCCGACCCGCGGCGGAGATTGCCATATCTGCCAATGATCCAGGTCGATTTCGGGAAGGAGGTACTGGCCGGTATGCAGCGGGCATTTTAGGAAGATGGTTTTTACTTGCCAATATAACAGCTAGGCAGATGACTGTCTTTCCTAAACCCATAGTTTCTGCTAGAATACCACCCCGGTTCGTTTCGTAGTAGCGCGGCTCCTGCAAAAATGATCCATCTCGAGCCCCGAAGTAAAACCTCTTCCCGTTTGGTGCGGTGCGAACCTCCAACCGTGGATCAAGCTGCAACTGTGGCGAGGCTTCTCGTTGCAGCATCAAGCTCGCCGAACGTGTCTGATAAGCGTAAAGCCTGGTTTTGAGCCCCGGTAGCGCCTGTTCGCCAAGATCCGACCACTCGGACACCGCTGCAGATTCTAGTACGTCTTGTACGGCAGCACGTGTATAACGACACTTGATTGCCGCTAAATTTGGCGCAGGGGATGGTAGCTTGTTGAACAGGTAATACAACGAGGACGGTTCTGCGCTGGCCCAAGTATCAAAGTAACATATCTCAACCTGCCCGTAGTCACCGTTCCAAGTAGTCGATGAGATGTCGATCTTTTGTAGGAGTTGCCGCAAAGCCGTCTTCAAACTCCTGCTATTCCGGTCGATAAAACGACGACCCCAGTCTTCTGGTAACAGATAGACGCGGAGGAGACTTCGAAGAGACGCGCTGTTGAGCGTTTTATTATGGAAAAACAAGCGAATCCAGCGGTCTTCCAACAGTCTCGATGCTTCTGTGCCAATAATTGTTTTGATTTCGTCCGGAAGTTCGCAGTACAGTAGTTCAATCCAATCGCCATTCGATGGTGAAGCAGATATGATATCGATAAGCTGCTCGAGGTGAAGGCAGCCAAGAGCGATGTACTGATCCATTTCTTGTGGCTTGGTCTCCGCGCTTTTGATATTGTTGTCGGTCGGTGAGAGCGCTGGAGTAACGGACGTAGTCTCTCCGGTCGCTGCAGAGGCAAACGCCGAAGACACAGACCTAGCTTCGTCACAGTCTTTCATCTCTTTGTCAGCTGCCTTATCAATTTTCTTGTGTGTCGCTCGATGGTCATGTCTGGCCACTGCCCATGGATCGGCCAACTCGATTGATGATAGTCCAACCATCACAAACGTGTATCACCATTGAAGTCGATAGGAGCAGCCGCAAAGCCTAAGCGGTTTAGCACCAGATCACGAATCGAGAATGGTTGTCAGTGAGCGGATAGATAGAAATGAGAGGCAACCGCCAAGTACACGGTGTTAGCGTTTCGCGCTAATGCTTTGGGTTAGCGCGGATGATCAAAATGAGGGTTGACCGGCAGCCGAAATAGGATGGACCTCCTGTTTGGTAGTGATAGATCACCGTGACGATGACATGAGTGGTTCTGTGTTGTTTTCTCGACAGTTGCAACATGTCAGGGATGTTTCGTATCCGGTGGCAATTATGTCTACGCGTGACGCGACTGTAATCAATCCGCGATATTATAGACCAGGATCAAGCAATGCGTAGACGCGATCACATATAAAGAGCCCTGGAGAGTGAAGTAACTGTCCTCATTGTGTATTCAAATCGTGAATTCGGATTCTTGTTGCAATGCTCTCCTTTGTCGCTCAAGTCTTGCTCATTGTCTCAGGCGCACTTGCGATGCCAGTTGAGAACGTTGGAAACTCAGCAACCGTAGGCAAGATACGAGGTGTTCGCGATCCGATCTATCATCTGTATCTCCAGGCCAACTCTAAAAATGGTATGCCACCCCTCATATATCAACCTTCCTCTTTGTACTTCTCCAGTAGTTTGCCGTTGACACATATAGCATCCATACCCGTCCTGGGCCCCGAAACTGCAGCTGACGAATTTACTATTGGTGGCACAATTCAATCGAAGAAGACAAGTCTGTACCTGAACATAGCGACCACGTCGACAAGCTACAAGCCATTGGTATGGGGGACGGCTGGGGATACGACAGCATGGGGGTTGGAGGGTGACACCATTATAACTGTACAAGGTAGCAGCTACGGTCGGCGTAAGCATCCCGGGAGGTGTAGAAGGCACGGTTCGCCCTTTTTGTTGCTAACACGCGATGTAGAGCTAAATTTCCTCGTATGCAAATCGACAGACGCAAGTTACTACGACTTGTATCTTCAGACCGGAAGCGACGTTCCGAGTGGAAGGACGTGCAGCAATTACCAGACAATACATCTACCGTGTCTCTGCTGAAGATTGTTACTGCTGGGCCACTTGTTGTTGTAGTTCATGTTCCTGAAAAAGCAGATACAAAGTAGCAAAGGCAGAAGCTTCGCATCAGGTCACCGACCTTCGATCACTAATCTAAACGTGATATGGATAGTTTTGTGATCCTCCGCAAATCGAATCTTGGAAGACAGCGAGGAAGGCGAGAGATCTGTCCGCGGTAGTGCTAACCACATCGGGTATGGCACGTTTCGAGACCGAAGAGACCCACCGAGGAGATCCACCGATGATTCGATGATTAGTGACGTATCGACCTTGTTAACTCCGAACAGCGTAGCTCTTTCGTTGATGATTAATGGTACAGATGTGGGGAAGATGCTGTTGCATATCACTGTCCCCGCTTCCTTTCTTCAAACGTCCATCGATTGAAGCACATCAACAATCATGTCATACAGCAGAATAGGAGTCGTGACCGGCGCGAACAAGGTACTCATACACACCCACGGTCCCTTCGCAGGTACAGGACTGATTCCTATAGGGCATTGGACGCGCAATCGTCCAGCAGCTAGCCCTCCAATATCCCAAGTCGCCGCTTAACAGCGGACCCTTTTTGATTTACCTGACAGCTCGTGATCAAGGCAGGGGAGAAGCTGCCGTCAAGGACCTCGAGCAAGATGCGCAGCTCAAGGAGGCAAAGGCATTGAAGGCCGACGGAGGGCTATCGCAGATTGAATTCCACTTGCTTGATATCACGAGCAGTAGCAGCATCAAAACGCTCGCAGACCACTTGAAGCAGGCGCACGGAGATGGCATTGACTTTGTCATCAACAACGCGGGAATTGCCATGGATGGCTTTAGTGCGTATCGCTTCCCGTACCACGTATTGCTTATGCTAACGGCTACAGACGCCGATATTGTCAAGACAACCCTCGACTGCAACTACTACAAGACGCTCGAGGCATGCCACGCTTTCCTTCCCCTCCTGAAGCCTACGGGCCGCATCGTAAACCTCGGCAGCATGGCTGGTAAACTCAACAAGTACTCCGAAGAAGTCCGTAACCGCTTCCTCGCCTCCAAGACCGAGGAAGATGTCACAAAGATCATGAAGGAGTTCGTTTCTGCTGTGGAGGCTGGAAAAGAGAAGGACGCTGGATTTCCTAGTGCAGGTTATGCTGTGAGCAAGGCGGGAATAATTGGAGGCACACGAGCGCTGGCCAGACAGGAGAAGGAGAAGGGAAGCAAAGTGTTGATCAACGTCTGCTGTCCTGGCTACGTCAATACCGATATGACGAAAGGTGAGAATCTCCCCTGTTCGGACTTCAAAGGAAGCATTAACTAACTTGGCATACCAAATTTTAGGCAACGGAACACGAACTGTAGAAGAAGGAGCTCAAACGCCGGTGCTGCTTGCAATCCATGACATTCAGAACAAGACGGGTAGCTTCTGGCAGTACGAGAAGGAGATCGACTGGGTTGGATAGAAGTACAACAGAATAAAAAGAAACAGATCCTCCAAGACTGATTCGCATTTTTGTCTTGTCACCATGCCTGTGATTCGGTAGCTGGAAGCTCACACGCATACAAGACACACGCTACAGTTCTCTTACAACAACGAAGTGGAAAGGAGCTTCAACAGCAAGAAGCTTGACGCGTTTACAGGGCTAACGCGTCTTGCATTACTAGCGCGGATCTCTTGTGGCGGAAGAAGCGACGCGTGAGGAAGGGGCGATAGAGGGAGGTGCGTCCCACGTTGAAAGAGCAATTCAGCAAGACTTCCAAACTTCAAGCAACTCTGATTATGCATACTCTGCGTACCCGGGTGGAGCTAGGCGACTGCTATAACCAGACACCATCAATACATGTCTCTCAACTTCACCAAAGGCGAATCTAAGAGATTGTAGCTGTGAACCGTGCCGGGGAGTGTCTTTTGGTGCAGAGGTGGCGAGAGCAGTGCCTTCCTCCAAGACCAAAATGGACCCACTTTTGAGCTCAGCATTGTGCCATCTCGAGCAACACGTACCTTTTGACTGGAAGAGCGGACTTTAAGGGTATCCGATGAGTGGTGACGCGTAGCTACTTCGCGTCTTCCTGCAAGACTTCCTGCTCTTTGGCCACACCACTCCACTGCCCACGACCGACACCATGACCACCAACGTGAGTAGGACTGCACAGCGGAGATGCCGTACCTGTAAACTATTGACCGGGCTAATTCAAGTATCGCAGACTCATGCTACCGCAAAGCCAGCGAAGCCAACGCCTCTCGACTGGGTAAGTTGACCGCAACTCCACTGCCTCGCTCCTTCCAACTCTTCAATCTCCCACCTCTTGGGTCTCCCAGGTCTTGCTCTTCCACGTCGCCACCTCCTACCTCTCGCACTTGTCACCTCCTGCACTTCTCACAGCTCATCGTTCCACTACCTATCTCTTTTAACTCCGGTAAACTGGCAGCCACGCTCTTGTACCCAAGCTAACATATTGTTAAGAAAATCTACTGGGCAGAGAAGAAAGAGAAGAAGGCACAGGAACAAGAGCGAAAGCGAAAGCGAAAGCGGTATGAGGACGCGCAAGATGTGCCGCCTGTGTAAGCTACTCTACCACTATGTTGTGCTTTGAGATCAGTAGACTGACTGAACGTAGCAAGAAGAAGTCGCGCAATGTCCGCCGCCGTATCAAGCAGAAGGCGGACGCCGAGAAGAAAGCCGCCGAATGGCGCTCCACCAGATCAGAGCCCGACTTTGGTGACTGGGACAAAAAGGAAAAGCCCAAGATCACGCTGCGGTTGCGTGGGGCTGAAAAGTCGTCATAGTTCTTCACTCGTTCGTTAGCGGAAAAACGGATGTTCAAGCAATGCAACGCGATGTCTTCTGTGTCCGGCCGGAATATATAACTTCATTCTGAGAGCCTTTCCATCAATCAGCTCCATCATCGCTTGGTGTAGCGATTTCGCGTCTCCTTGGTGTAGTTGGTTATCACGTGGGTCTCATATCACCAAATATGACTACTATTATAGTAGATATCCCAAGGCCGCCAGTTCGAGTCTGGCAGGGGACAATTTTTTTCGTTCTTGCGAGTTCACGCATATGTTAGAACTTGCCAGGTCTTTTTTTTTTTTGGAATTGTCCTCGATAACGTGTCGCAGGCTCCTCAGGTTGCAAGTTCGCAAGTTCGCAAGGCAAAAACTGGTCGCGAGGTATTCTTTGACTTGATATTGTTCTTCCCTCGCATTCCCTTTGCAGCAAGGCTGTGCTGCTTGGAAATCTCAGCCGCGCTCTCACAATGAGAGTAGGTTGGAACATCATCTCAAATATTGGGATTTGACGGAGCACATCGTAGGTTTGAGAGCATGGACACAAAAGCAATTTTAGCTGATCGAGTTGTGTTGGTGAGTTAGCATGGTCACAGCACGCATCGATGGATGTTTTCCTCGATACCACCCGCCATTAGCCATCGACGCGTCCCCTCAGCACTCACCATCCTTGGAATGTGCAACGCCCGCCAGCTACACCTGGTATAATCCCGACTGTATTAGAAAAAGCAATAGGGGGTCTTGAATATACCGAATTATAGATATTTCAGGCATCTTTCTTTTGCCAGACGCGTCGCACAGTAGCAAAATCGCTGTTCACGTGCAGCCGTGATAGATCCGCGTTGCTCAGGGGCTTCCGAAGCGATCACGAAACCCGTTGATGTCATGATTCAACGAACATCCAAATCGACCTCATCAACTACAATCATAACCCATCAAGATTGATGGGCATTCATCTCAATTCAGCAGTTAAATCTTACCAAAGTCCAGTCTCATACTATCTGATACGTGAAGATGCCTCAGGCGAAGAAACAGAAGACCGTGCACGATTCCGGCGTTTTCCTGGAGGAGTCGGGCAGTGAGAGCTCAGATTCTGCTTTTGAGACGGTGCGCACCCACAAGAACGACAAAGAGAAAGGCGCAAAAAGCAAGAACAACAGCACGGATGAGACCCAGTCAAGCAAGCCTGCAAATCCAGCGCCGTATGATTACGTCTGTATACCTCATCCTTTCTTCGACGTAGAGGACAGGAATTGGCTGAATTGGACATTGGATCCGGACGCCTACATCGAAGATGAATTGGAGGTTTTCGAAAAGCTCTACAAGCCTATTGACGATAAGTTCAGAAAAGACGGTGTCTTCAAATCACCGCCGAGCAAGTTTCCGGAGCACAAATGGGTGATGATGTGGGATGCTTGGCTGAAGGTGGACTTACTAGGAAGGAAAGCCAAATATTGCGATCCTGGCGGTTTCGGCATGGAGCTATACCAAGACTGGCAAGGATGGGGAGTACAGGAGATCTTGGAAAACATGGTGTGTGCGAAGATCGACGGGGTATGCTAAAGCTGACATTGAAAAGCTGATCGAGTTCGACGAAAGCTTCCGGGCCAACGATGACCGCATTGAGAAGATGTGGTCGGTGGTTAGTGCAGTGGGCCTCTGGATGAATTCCGATAAAAACATCGACGCGCTCACGAACAATGAAGACGGCGAGACAACCTGCGAGCTTTTTGGCGTATTGGGCTGCGCATTACTGACTGTGCTTGCGACCATTGAAGCAGCAGGCGAGCTCAAGCCAGATTCCCGCTTTCTCGACTTGACTCTTGGTATCTCATATTACTTGGAATTATCGCACGATCTCCCTGCATATGGCATTGAAGGAGAATGTGTAGCTTGGCGCAAAGAAGCCGTCAATTATTTCAAGAAAGGCAAGCTCGATCCCGAGAAGGGATCCTATACAACGAAGCTGCGTATAGAGAAACTGTCCAAAGTAGGCAACTTCGATGGTGACGACGGCGACTACAAGGAAACCAATGGAGTTGCTGAGGAGGTCATGACTGGGACGACGAGCTCTGAGAGACTTCAGGCTGAGAGACTTCAAGATGAGAAAGCGACAGCGAACCCTGTCGGCAGCTCTGCTGCAAATCCGGTCATGATCCCTGAAGACGACGACGCGAACAAAGAGAACGAAAACCCAGAAGCCACAGGCGACAAGGCTGTCTCTTCGCCACCAACTTCAAATGGCAAGAGGAAGAGGGGCTTGAGCGATGCAGAGAACGTGAAGGATACAAACAATGGGAAGAAAGACCCATGGCACTGGAATGAGAAGTTCAACACGTACAAGGAGAGGCAAGGTGAAACATTGGGTGGTGAAAAGTATGACATTACCAAGATGACCAGGGCAGACAGAGCAGCTACGTCGTTCACTGGGAAAGATCCCCTTGCAAAAACCCCGGTGAAGTATCTAAAGGAAAATCTAGTGGATAAAGCTTAGTTGCAAGGAATAGGATCTGTCAGAGTATAATGCACGCTTACGATGATATGTGCAAGTTCCTGTTTTCGATGTCTAGGAGGCGTTTTTTCAATCTAGACTGCTATTGCACACACCCCCGACTATCCACTGGCCAGATCTCCTCGATAACCCCCTTCCGATACGCATAATAGACATTATGTAAGTTCACCGTCGGATCGATATGGCTAGGTACCATCTCGACCCTATCTCCTATCTTCAACTCTTCACCCTTGCCTTCCTCCCAGGCAAGACTGCCATGCTCATCACCCAAAACCCCATACGTATACCCCGGTGTCTTGCATTCTGCAAGCCCAGAGTCCGTCGTCAGCGACTTGAGTCCTGCATCAATAGTAATGATATTCGCGCCCTGTTTGCTGAGAACTGTAGAGAGGATGGTCAAGCTCTGAGCGTAGTTTGTAGAACCAACGGCGTTGCGATAATCCGTGTCCATGAAGAGGAAAGAGCCAGGCTGTACCTCGGTGATTCCAGGGACAGTGACACAGAACTCTGCAGTTCCAGTTCCACCTGTTGTTACTACATCGATGGCATGACCTTCTTTCCTTAGCGCATCAGCAGTAGACGTGAGGATCTTCATGCTCTCAAGACACTGGCTTTTGCGCTCTTCGAGACCATGGACATGTTGTAGGTGGCCTTCGTACCCTTGTACGCCGATGAGTCTGAGATGCTTTGAGCTGGTGACAAAACGAGCTAGTTCCGAAGCTGGTCCCCCGGGTTGCACGCCTGTACGATGCAATCCCACATCGAGATCGATGAGCGTCATAACTGTGCCCTCGAAATCGCTTTCTGATAGTGCTTGTTCAATGGCGCTCGCACCCTCTTTGCTGTCGACAACTATTCTTACATCCTTGTACTTCTTGACCAATTCCACTAACCTCTTTACCTTCGCAGGTCCAATAATCTCACATGTAATCAGCAGATCTGTGAAACCCTTCTCACACATGACTTCTGCCTCGCTGAGTTTCGCCACGCATCCACCTTTTGCACCCGCTGTGACCATTTTCTTCGCAATGATGGCAGATTTTGTGGTCTTGAGATGTGGACGGATATTGACACCAGTAGGGAGTAGTTGTTTCATGAGTTTACTTAAGTTGGTCTCCATGAGGTCCAAGTCCACAATCATGGATGGCGTGTCTAGCGAGTCCAGCGAGTCGCCCACCTTAGGAGAGTACGGCATGGTTGTGTTGTGTACGAGACGCTGGTAGGACCGATGGTATGCAGCACGTTGTTGGTGGTAAATTGTGAAAGCAGCTCGACCACGACTCGAAACGCATATATGTCGGAGAACTACGGGCTTAGTCACAACGTATCGGAGTGCGAACATCGGACACGGCGCTTGAAGATAGGCGTTAGGAGTGGAAAAGTGGGTTGCTTGATCGTGATAACCCGAAATGGTAAGCCGGCGGCCATCCCACCTTCCCGACTGAACACTAGCCTCTAGGTTTACGGACCATTCATGTCGTACAACCGCAAGGTACCACAGAGGGTATGCATCAGCCTTTTTGTCATGCTTGTATCAATAGAGACTACATTCAGTACGTTCAGGGAGCGTTGAATATAGGTTGCGGTCACGTTGCACTCATCTCATTCTGTACAAGCAATCTCGCCAAACTGAAGTCCAGCCTAGAAATCATCTTCGATAGTCATCTGCACGTCCGCACGTGGGAGCTCGTTTCTTTTAATATCTACTCAAAAAGGATCCCGGAGTTGTTCGCCTTCTTTTCCCTCTGAGTCATGATCCTACTGAAGGAGATGTGGCGCATACCTTAGGGATAGATTATTCCATTGGGTAGCACTACTCAAAACGAATGAGCATCCTTGTACGGGCTTGTGCTTAACAGTACTTTCGGACCTGACGAATGAAGCCCGTGAATCCGAAAATGGTGAATCCATCTATCAAGCCTTGCAGCCTTTGTGCCCACCTTGCTGCCACATCGTAACGCTCTTAACCTTCATCTGCCCATCGTCCTTCCACGTAGGCAGCCACTGGTCCTTGGCTTCCCAAAAGTCGAGCTTTGCCCGAGGGCTCCTGTCAATCCATGGCTTGCCGCTCTTGCCATCCTCAAACCAGCCATTTGTTGAGCCAACAGCAAGGTTCATGACAAGATAGAACTCCTGGTCAAAAGGAGCTGTGTTGCCTTTGGTGTGCTTCCATGGATTCTCAAGGCGGGTGCCGTTGGCATCAGCTTGAGGGAAATTACCGTACTTGAAAAAGGGTTGATCAAAATGCGTGTACATGACTTGTAGGAGGCGTGTATTGATATAAGTGAAGATGTACTTCTCGCTCCACTAAATGCATGGTCAATACTGTCGCGCACGATAACATAGAAAGGAAAGTAGCGGTATTACCTCAACACCAAAGGTGTTGTAGTCGGCTGCATATGTAGTGTGCAGCGCCTGGCGCTTGACATTGTTGCGCCACCAACCATTGTGGTTGGCGTCAGGGCCGAAGTGCAGCGTGCTCGAGACGACGTTGTTGCCGCCTTGCGCATAACCTGGAGCATTGCCGCGGGACTCCGCGATATCGATCTCACCAGAACGAGGCCAGGCGCCATATACGTTATCCTTGGGTAACATCCAGATGGCGGGCCACAGCCAGTCACCAGTGGGCAGCTTGGCGACGACTTCGACGCGGCCGTACTTGATTGAAGCACCAATTTTGGTATTGATTCGGCCAGACTTGACAGGATTGACAATTGTACCGTTAGTTGTGTTGGTAGTGGCGACACAGTCGGTCCAGTGAGAGCCAGTGCATCCCTGTCCACGGAGATCGATGATGTAGTTGCTGCCGATGAATGTTTCGTCCTGGATTGTTGGCTTTATAACGAGCTCGCCGTTCTTGATGAAAACGTTCTCGTCTGTACCTGTAGTCATCTCGAATTGGCCGTTGCTACAAACATCAATCAGTCCAGGTGTAACAATGGTTCAAGGCAACATACCCATAGCCGCCCAGCTCGACTTCCCTAGTCCAGACGTTCTCGTTCAGCGTGGTGAAATTATCATGGTAGATCTCGCAGTATTTGTGCCTGCCTATGACTCTGAAGCCGTCCCAGATCATGATAGCCACTGCCATGAAACCGAGTCCAAGCCCTATGAGAGGAAGAATTGTGCCCCATTTCTGCCTGGGGTGCGGCTTGTCGAGCCACGGCATCTGCACATCTTCGGGCTTAACCCGTCGTGAGCGGAAATACTGACCTGGTACGGGTCCGTAGTGGAATCCAGAGCCTGTGGCTTGCTTGCCCTTGAAGGCTTGCTTGCTGTTGGTGCTTTTGGATTTGTGGACTTTCTCTGAAGGGCCCCCCGAGCGGGCTACAGGGGTGATGATGTTAGGAGTTTCTGTGAGGTTCTGCATAATGTGCTGGTGTTATAGTATAGGAGGAGAGAATAATGTAAAGTAGTAGACTTTTTGTAGCAGGCAAATTCGATATCCGCCTAACATGAAACCTACCACACGTGTACGCATCGGGAATCCTGTGGCCAGCAGACAGTATTTCAACGTACTTACAGAGCGCATGTTCGCATAGCGTAAGCGCGACTGAATGTTCAATGGGCGGTCCAATCCAATTATGCGACAGAGCGACCGAGTCCCTTGGTACGAGTAGATCCCATTCGTCAGGCTCCACAGTAAAGAGAACATGTTTCCTTCGAACCATAAGACAGATATGGTGATTGTTGGTCTTGTGTGGGTACTTGTGGAAAATATTGACGGCTGAGAACCGGCGATTGGATGAGCCACTCAGCACGAAAAGGCTCGATTCTTCGACAGTTGTATCTACCACCGAAAGCACCTTACAGGCATTCGTCGTGTCCCAAGATGACGACAGGATCATGTAGCAAATAGCGAATACCTCTAGGTTATGAAATAGGGTTTTCTGTTGAGAGATACAGATCAGTGAAACCGAACCTTTATTCTTTCGTAATTTGAGCGCGTCAGCGCCCTCAGCACTCTGAAACAACAGCGGCACCGAAGGGACATATCACGCTCAAGACGCCCACGACCACAGCGCGTCGCTTGTTTCGCCCGCGCATCTATGCGCCCACTGCCAGACTCAAGTATATACCCCACACGACACCCACAGAGCAGCCAAAAAGGACCCTCTTGTCTACTGGCACCCACAGGAAGCTGATAAGGCTTATCGCAGGCCAAAACTTGTATCCGTCCTTCATCATTGGCCATAGCTTGTTCGCGCAGTCGCTCGTAACCACGTCCATGGCGTTGACGCCAGGTTTCCCCTGCGCATTGACATAACCCATATATGCCAAAAACATGAGTGTGTTGACGACTGCGCCGATGGTCTGATCAAGCAGGAACTTGATAAGGACGTTGGTCTTGTTGAGGGACGTCTTGGCGGGATCGGATTTCGAGCCTGGCTTCTCGGACGGTGGAGCAGCAGAGGGCACATTGGTAGGAAATTGCTCTTCTAGGTAGCCTTGCCAGACAATGTTTGGCGGGGTGCTGAGTACGCTGAAGAGCGCGAACTTGAAGACTGTGGCATAATTGAGCGCAAAAGGCGTCTGGGCACGTGTCAGCTACAGGCACCAAACAACCACAAATCGCGCAACTGTACGTACGCTGTCTTGATACGACGATATGGCTTGCGCAAGCACATTCGAAGTTATGCTGAGCACTGCGCCCTGCAGGGTCTGCGATACTATCGACATGACTTCGTTGTTGATCAGGTGTACAAATATCCACAGCCGCGATTGAATAATGGAAAAGGAGGATGAAATTTATCGCAGGTAGAATAATTGCAGAAGAGGAGGCGTGAGGCGTGTGTAGGGTTATGTGTCTCAATGTGGCCAGCACATCGACTATTTTCGGGAGTATCAACAATGTTTCGCCCGTGGCAAGTCGCGTCCCGCCATCCCGCCATCCCGCGTCCGCCCGTGACGTCAATCAAGACGTGCAGCCCAACACCGCGTTAATTAGGACCGCTTTTCCATAGTACCTTGCCTTGCAGCTCCTTCTCATGAATGGCCCAATGGCAGTGTCGACGCGTACTTACTGGACTGCTGGATTGCACCTGAAGAATAGTCAGACCGTCGCAAAACGACTAGTACGCCATCTTACGTCCTAAAGAAATCGCAGCGGAGTAGAACAAGGTATGCAATCGCAAACGATGTTGGAGCTAGCCGATAGAAGTTTCATGTAGCTAATCTAACTTGTATCTAATCTTGAACCTCATTCGACCGCGCGGGGCATTCTAACAGGCTGATAGCGCGAAACCATAGACCAATACAATCTTGAATAAAGACAATAAGCCATTCGCACTGACAGGACCCTTTCGTGATCACACCCATATTTGCGTCTCACCCAAGTGTAATCTCTACCTTTTCCTTTGCCTTGCTCTCCCAAACGTCCTTCCACACTCTTCCAAGTGCTTTGCGATATGCAACTCCTTCCACCCGTCTTACCCAGAGTACATTGACGAACTCGTACAGCCCATCGTATCTGGCCAAAGTGAATTATTGAGACCAGCAACAGGTACGTCCATTTTAGTTGCAGAAGTATCAAAGTTTGGTGTTGGGGTGTGGGAAGGAGCGAGTGTAAGTCGGGATATATCCTGGCACTCGTGTCAGGAAGCACATAGACATTCCCAATTGACTGTATCGTTTTGGAAGATGACCCTTCGTGTAGAGAATATGTATTCCTGAAAGGTCCAGCCTCGCGAATACCACTTGGTCTGCATGAGTGATATCGCTTGATCAAGCATATATTTTGCACCATCCAGAGGTTGTCCGTCTGCCCTTCTCTTCTCTTGTTTTGAAGGAGAATCACCATGAACAAGCGCCATTCTACGATGTCCATAAAGACTCAGGCTCGCTTCTTCGTTCTGAGCTGCGACTAAGGTAAAGAGTGAACCTGCATACATCTCTCCCATAGCACTTAGTTGATGGTGTTTGGTTGCCTCATCGTCTTGGATGATTGTGATCCGATCCACCCATAGATAAGGAAGCCCCAAATCCCTGATCAGATTGATGGCATCCCTGATAAGACTAGGTAGCGATATGATCCCGTTGTAGAGCCCGTTATGCTCTTGGAGCTCTTTCAGGTTCGATTTCGTGGCGCAAGCTGAAGCCTCTGCCCTACCCCCAAACATAGCTCAAGGCAACATAACGCGGGCGTTCAGGCGCTGCAACCAAACACCCTCGCTCAACATCAATCAGGTAGGACGGAAATGGCGAGTGCATCTGTGAGGTTCTGCTACCATGGCAGCGTATTCCATGTAGTTTTTCGCAACGATCTATCCACGTTTGGATGATACCGACATCCATAATCGTAGCGTCCTGAGCTAACACACTAGTGTCTGCCTCTGAGTCCCTCTTCTCAATATAAGGAAGAAAAGGGACGAGGTGAGTAGGCATATCCTTCCATGACACATCGGTGTTTCTGGGTGACGCTGTGCGGCAATAGCGTCGTCGGGTCTCTGGGAAGTGCACCGCCGAAGACACCGTTTGGCGAGCGAATTCTTCAGCTGTATCGGGAATCCATAGCTTCGTTTGATGGTGCAACGGGGGAATTCCAATCCAGCCCTCTTGGGGAGCTATACTCGTGCCGGTAGCCTCAGTCGTTACTGCTTGCTTGTCTTCCTGCATTCTGCACTCTGCTGCTACCACGTCCATGGTCTGTACTAGGCCTGACGCGAGGTGCCTTTTTCGATAAAGTTATATGTTGACTAGACGCTCATGTGGCATGCACATAATTCGGTCCTCTACGTGATCCGCTCTCAGGCGCCTCTTTCTCTCAAACTCGATGTGCACGAATTTGCTCGATATTTTATCAGGTCCGAGGATACCAATGCCTCTTCCACAACGGGGGAGATGGGTTCATTAATATTGGAGACGACATCGTTGGCAGTGAAGGAATATTCGAGTGGTGACGCAAAGTGAGGGGTATGACCCCAGTGACAGGGGCAGCCAGAACTGGTTAATGAACTCTCTATCTCGGTGGTAGAGGAGAATCTGATGCGCAAGGCTGACAGGACAGGTACTCGTCGGTCGGACTCCGAGTCATTGGACTAGCTACTGGCGCAATTTGATTACTCATGGACCAGGTGTAGTCGCTTGGTATAGCTGGGTCAACATTGTATGAAGCTGGTAGGGAAGTCGCCCATTCTCCTGTCTGTTCCCCTTGTTGACCAGGGGTGCAAGCGGCGTGGTACGGAGAAACCACCAGTCTTTATCCGGTATCGATTCTGGTGATGATCCAGCTGATCTCTTGTGATGATTCACAAAAAACGAGGGACAACGATGGCTGCGCACATCTACTTCATGGCAAGCCACGTTACACCGCTCACTGAAGCGCGTCGAGCAACGAGTCGTGGTCTTAAGCGGTCGATTCTTCTCGGTAGAAATCCGCCATGCCCTCTTTCACAGCCTTTCGGAGTTGCGCACCCGCTCTGCCCAGCTCCCCGCCACCTTTGGTAGCCTGCTCCAGACCTGCGATGATTGCAGCCTCCGCTCGGTCTCGAAACAATCTTTGCCGATCTTCACGGTCTTCATACATCTCTGCTTCTTCGTCTCTGGCAGCACCAAATAGGTTCAAATGCGCGTAGGCGTTCGATCGTTCGGAGAGCACGTGATGCTGCGTATGCCAAAGCGGAAAAGTGTTGTCGCTAAGGCCGATAGAAGCAGCTGTCTGAGCATGAGAGAGCCCGGTGCGGAGGAAAGAAGTCAACGCATTCATTTGCTTGACTTGCATCTTCGTATCGGCCTTTCCGTACGATTTTCCAGACGACCATTTGCTCGATGCTTCACTTTGCCAACCAAGCAAAGTGAGGAAGCATTTGAGCATCTTCACCCACCCTCCAGCACAACTGACAATTTCATCGCCTGTGACCACAAGCAGCCATTCCAGCACCTCGAGGCCAAATACACGAATTTCAGTTGCTAAGTGCGTCATTGCAGCTCTTGTGTGCAGTAGCAGCTGATCTGCGTGGCTAGCGATATCGATTGGTGGCAGACTTTGCAGAAGCTTGAGTAGTTGCTGACGAACATTATTTGATCCGTCCAGAATGAGCTTTTGTGCCACGGGAATGATGACAGACGAAGGTTGCGGTAATGGAACTGTAGGTGGGTTGCTTGTGATGGCTGATGTTAAAAAGGCCAATGATTCTTTCCGCTGTGCATCTGACTTGTGATTTAGTAGACCTAGGTGATGAGCGCATTGTGCTTCTAAACTTGGAGCACTGGTAGAAAGTGCTTGTTGCTTGAGAGAAATTGCTGCGATGTGTTAGTTGAGAATGTGAAATTTAGTGTTGTAAGTCTCACATTTGGCTCGGAAGCTGGTATCAGTGCTATTCGCTGCCTTGGGTCTGGCTTTTCCGACCTTCAATTTTGGTTTCTGTTTTGGTCAGCTCTGCAATTCATAGAAATCCTGTACAAGCTTACCTGGAAATCTTTCTTCTTGTTCTCCTTCTTCTTCTTTGAGCTGGCGGTCATGATGTCGGACTATTGGAACCCTGCAAATCAAGTTCGCGACCCTCTCAATCGAAGACCTTCTCCTTACGCGTGAATTGTCGAGGAGGTGAACGAAAATCTTCGCGTTAATGATTGAAGACGCGTTCCCTACTGATGAGCGGAAAATTGAAGATCTACAGATGCCGCTAATACCAAAAAGGCATGGGTCATGTAGCTCTTGGCAGGGTCCAGCCGCGGTGGTGTACGACCATGTCATTATTAGCATCTGTAAACAGCGACTGCATCTCTTAGTCTCCATTGTACCTGTTATGCAACATGGCTCAGAACGCTGTATGTATCAGTCAGTTCTTGTAGTAGCAGACCACTAACGACTGCATAGCCAGACGAGACACTTTCGCTACTCACGCGACTGAGCCAAAAGCCTGGCGTTCAGAGCACCCTGATTTTGTCGCGCGAGAACGGCACCATAATACGCACCTCGGGCCTCATATCGAATAGCTCGTCGGCGAATCCAAACAGTACTCTACCGGCATCCGGGGAAGCTGCATCCGACAACTACTCGAACGGCAGGAAAGAAAGTGGGATACACAGCGCTGAAGACGTTGCGAGCATGGTCTGGTCGTTCTTGACAGCAGCAGGGAGCCTCGTAGACGAGCTGGACAAGGATGATGAGGTCAAGCTTCTCAGACTGCGGACAAAGAAGAATGAACTGGTCATCGTGCCAGGTATGTTCCCCGCACATGCAATGGTGGGGCTTATGCTAACGTCTCCAGATCCCAAGTTCATTCTCGTCGCTATTCACGATACACCTCCAGCATAGGCCATACTACCAACTCATCGCACATGTTTCCCGATCCCCGCAAGCGTTATGATACCCGGTCGTTCTGATTTGAATACAACAAAAACCTCAGTTACCAATGAGACTCACTAATCTCGACTGCGTTCACGTCCACACCGTCCTTGAACCATCGTTCTACACGAATTTCAGTCGATGTTTCCGCTTATACATGCAAGCTTGAAATACTCACGGGTTTCACCAATCTCGATATCGTTACCGCTCATCTGCCGCTTGCGCATCTTCCCGTCTTCTGCAAATGTCCAATCCTCGAGACCATAGCAACGCTTCCACTTCATGCCATCATGGGCATCTTGGAACTCATACCAGAATTGCACGGCGATTCTATTGTCAGTAAAGGCAAATAATTCTTTGCGCAGCTGGTAATTCTTCTCCTTCTCCCACTTCTTTGTTAAGAAGTTTTCAATCTCCGCCGTACCAGAGAGGAAAGACGATCGATTGCGCCAAATACAGTCGGGTGTATAGGCTTGTGCGATTGCCTTGGGATTCCTGGCATACTTAGCAGGCGTGAGGTAGCTGGTCACAATGCTGCATACTGGCCATTCCAGAGGTCCTGTGCCTTCTTGACCTTGGCATGGGCGGATTCTTGAGTAAAAGGTGGTGCGAGTGACATATTCGGAACGAGCAAAGCCAGATAGGTTCAGACAGATTGTAATAAGAATCAGTTATATATCATCAAAACAACAAAGACGATCACTTTGAAGTTGAGTCATGCTGAGTGAGGAGATGCCGCTCCATGGATGCCTCGTATCGGCACTTCGGCATGCGCTTACATGCATCCCTGTGGAAAGAAGCTCAATTACTTCGAAATGGACATCGAGCATTTAGACCTCCAAGATCTCACCTAAAGAGGATCAGAGGACATACAGCCAGTGCGAGTAGAATGTTGGTTCGACGAGTGACAACACAAGCTCTGCCGAAGAAGAAGATTCTGGAACTGGAAGAAGCAAAAGAGACGCTCAGTTGTACACCGATCAAACGCCGAGGTCCAGACATGCCAGCATCTGTGTCCAATCTTGGAGAACAGAACAGGGTGTGGTTGGCGAGTGCCGATAGATAGCTTTCATCAACAAGCTTCCAAATGTCATTAACCACAGCAGGTCGCATCGAGCCCGTATCGTCAGCGCCCTATCCATCTGCTCAGTCAGGTACACGCCCAGACGCCTCTCTAATAGGCCAAAAAGATTTGTCAAAGATACCCTGCATTGTCAGAATGCGTTGGCTGGTACCTGGCGTCATACGCCATACGCCTCGGCCGGGCGCATGCCGGAGCTGTGCCCCACTACGAGATCTCGAAGCTTCAAGCTTGGGAAGCAGGCGGGTGCCCCTCCAGATAACTAATCGGCGTAGTCCACAATAACAAGTCACTTTCTCTCACCTCACTCTGCTGTTTAATTTCCAATTCCTGAATCTACATAACCTTCTACACAAATACACCAGTCAATCACAATGGCTCCTCTACAAGTTGGCGACAAGCTCCCCGAGGGCGTCAAGTTCGAGTAAGTGCAGTCGTATCGAGCTCCGCTCACCATCGAAGCTTTTGGGGTTTACGCTGACATCGTATTTTCTCCGTGCAGATGGGCACCCATCACCGACAGCGACCCTACCGTCTGCGGTCGTCCCCAAGAATACGATGCCAGCAAGGAATGGGCGGACAAGAAGGTCGTCCTCTTCTCCGTTCCCGGCGCTTTCACCCCAGGCTGCCAAGCATACCATCTCCCTCCATACATTGCAAAGGCCAAGGAGTTCAAAGAGAAGGGCGTTGACATCATTGCTACCATTGCAAGCAACGACAGCTGGGTCATGAACGCCTGGGGCAAGGTCAATGGCGTCAAGAACGATGATGTCCTTTTCCTTAGCGACACCAAGACCTTTTTCTCCAAGGAGTACGGTTGGCCTGCGGGTATGGGCGACCGCAACGGTCGCTGGGCTATGGTCTTCGATCACGGCAAGGTCATCTACGCCGAGAACGAGAAGAGCCCCGGCGAGGTTTCGGTAAGTATCTAGTGGTCCTGAGAGTAATGGTCTGTTCCTAACGATGGATAGGTTTCTGGTGCCGATGCCGTTCTGGCCAAGTTGTAAGCGCTACAAGGTCAGTGTTCGAGAGGCTTTTGCACATGTCAATAGATCTAGCTAGCACCTTGTAGACGAAATACCCAAACAAGAATAATGACAGTGTACAAACGCAATCTAAATGTGATGTTGTTCTGCCACGTCAGTCGCCCACTTTTATCCATGTAGCGTTTATAGTTATGTTCGAACGATCGGCGGTGTAGGCCAGGGACGGCATGGAATTGGAAGTTCGTGTTTGTATTGAATGCTGGTCGAATGCTCAGCCTGGATTGCAACTTTTCCACAACATGGCTTGTTCGTAGGCATCGATTCTAGCCCTTGACCGTCCTAGCTGCGTCCGCCCGAGTATTCGTAATAAGCCCATATATACAAACGCCGTCATGACTAATGCGCTCAATCAAACTATGCTCTGGTCAGCGTGCGTACACGGGTGTCTCTAGCGTTGAACGTACTGGTGTAAGGAAGGACTCGGCCACGAAACGTGCTCTTGCGTTCAACTAGAAATGCGTCAGCTTCCAGGCCAAAGACGTAGGCCTTGGTTGGCTTACGAAGAGCTTCATTTCTGAGATCTCCTTGTCCACCTCCTCCATGAACTGGATGATGAAGTCGACCAGCTTGTGCTTCAGCATCTCCTCTGTGTGGAAGTTGGTGATGAGGAACGAGATGTCGTAGCCCTTGACTGGCTTCCTCCGCATGATGTAGAAGGACTCGGCTCTTTGGGTCAGGAACCGTGTGAACTTGTGGACCAGGATGTGTTCAATCTCATCTGCCTGCTTGATCTTGATGCTTATGCGCACACTGTTGATACTGGGCTCGATGTACACGCGTTCCTCGGCGTTCCTCGACACGGTAAGCGGGTTCAGGATGACTTCGGGCGAGCTCGCAGCCTCGATCTCGGGGACATTGTGGCGTTCCGAGGCCTGGGACGCAAAGTTGGAGAGGGAGAGGGCGGCTGTGAGCGACGAGCGCACGCACTGGAGGTACGGGCGGAGTGATTGCGACTGCGAGTGTCAGCGTGAGCATGCGACTAGCCGGCAGCGGCAGGACGGGAGAATACCATTGCGGATAGAGCTCAGCACCAGCTCTATGCTATGTTGGAAGGGTAGGGCTGCCGTCGGGGGAGAGCGGGCTGCTATGACATGCCAGTACGGCGAGTTGGCGGTGCCTGCAGCTGGTCGCGCTAGTGGGGTAGAAGCTCCGGGCGGCGGCTCACCTTGGCGCGGCCGTCCTTCCTCATGCTTCCATTAACTTTTGCCCCACGACTGCATTATAAACACTCTCTCGCCTCGCCGCCCCTACAGTCTTCTATACCCTATTCACAGTATAGTTGAGAACATCACCATGGCGACTATACCAGGTACGCCCTGCGCTGCACCTCCACTCGCAACATGGCACGACTAACCCACACCGTTTGTAGTAATCGTAAAGCACCAGGGCAAGAAGCACGAGGTCGACGTCGACACCACCTCGACCGGCGAGACGTTCAAGTACCAGCTCTTCTCCATCACCGGCGTCGAGCCAGAGCGCCAAAAGGTCATCGTCAAGGGCGGCCAACTCAAGGATGACGCCGACATGTCCAAGCTGGGCCTGAAGCCAAACCAGACCCTCATGATGATGGGCACGCCCTCGGGTTCGGGCATGGTCATAGAGAAGCCCAAGGTCCCTGTCAAGTTCCTCGAAGACATGGACGAGGCGGAAGCTGCGCAGTTGGAGGGCGCCACCCCCGCCGGTCTGCAGAACCTGGGTAACACCTGCTACATGAACTCTACCCTACAGGCGCTACGCTCTATCCCAGAGCTACAAGAGGAGCTTCTGCGATACTCGGACAGGTACGTTTCCTTTCATCGCACGCATGTGCTTCCACTGACTGTTTCCAGCAACGGCGCCAGCTCGTCCAGTGCCGCACAGCTCAGCCAGTTTGGTCTCGGTGGCCTTGGTGCCTCGACTGATCTTACGGGCTCCCTCCGCGACCTCTTCAAGCAGATGTCCGAGACACAAAATGGGTTCCCTCCACTCATGTTCCTCAACGCTCTCCGAACCGCATTCCCCCAGTTCGCCCAGAAGTCAAAGGACGGCCACGGCTACGCACAGC